CTTTAAAAAATCATTGACAAATGTTTGAGATTATTTTTTCTTTTAAATTTTCTTCTTGTAAGTGCGAACAAAAATACTCGCAAAAATGATTAAAAACAGTGATTTAATAAAAATTTACCTCTTTTATGTCTTTTCTATTTATTTAATAATTAATAAATTATTTATCGAAAAATTTCTAGAAACCAATAATGAAGTTTATAAAATAAAAGTATTCAAAGTATCTGGTAGTTACTTTGAAGATCATCTTCGTCATGATTAAATGATTGACACGAATTTTCATTTCCTTCTTTCATATTTGAAAATAACTCATTTTATGAAGACGCCATATCATTTCTATAAATGAAAAAATAAAATTTACACTGAATAGTAGAATAGAGAGTTTTAGAATACTTTGATATTTAGGGGTTAAAATCTAAAAATACAATTAATAGTTATAAAAAAATATATATTTTTTAAAATTTTTATTTAACTATTCAGTTTTGAAAGAGCAGAATATATCCCTTAACTACCAAAAAAATTATATGATTTGGTTTTCCGGAAATTGGTTTTCGGGTTTTTGAATTTGGAAATTTGACCAGATACCTACGAAAAGTAGTAAAATTAATATTATTATAGTTACCATTGTGATTTCCTTTTACTAATTACAATATGAGTACAACACTATTTTAGATAGGTATTATTATTTCTTAAAACAGAGTGCGACCTCTTTTGAAGTCGGTGCGCACTTATATATCGTACACTGTTTGACCGACAAATGCTACTAGAGAAATTTAAAATCCAAATACAAGTGTCGAAGGTATTGATTTTAAAAATCTACTTTAATATTTACTATTAAGTTCGCAAAAAATTTAACTAAAATTATAAAAGTAATTTATGAATAAAACAATGACGTAGGTATCAAATAATTTATTTGCAAAAATAATTTTAAAATATATAAAAAATACACAAAAACTTAATAAAAAAAATGCTATTCAGTAATATATTATTAGTAATATTTTAATTATTATTTCATTTACAAACTAAAAATTAATTATTTATATATAATAGTTAGTAAATTTATTTTCAAACTTTATGATATGGCTTAAAACTATTTTACCAACACATGTTATATTTAATTTATTTTACTTTATTTTAAGAAATATATTACAAAAAATAATCAATAAAAAAAATAAATTTTTTGTCTTATAGAGTTTATAAATGTTATAAAAATTTTTTTAATAAATATTTGATGATAATACTAATTCACAATATTCCATTTACAAATAAATGCAGATGTATGCATAAAATCGTATTACAAATGTAATGTAATGAAATCACTTTATGTTCCATGTTACATAAAAGGACTGTTAATTTGGAAAATTTGCACATTCATATTGTAAATTACTTCATTTTGTCAACATTTGTTTCAAAATATGTTTCAATATATTTCCAACATATTTACATACATTATTTAATTGCAATTTAAAAATTAGTGTGTTTTAGAGAAAATTAAATATACGTATAGACTATATATAAGAGGATGTATGAAGATTTTGTTTTTAATTTCGATTTACCTCATTGTTTAATTTAAATAACAAGTTCAAATAAAAAGCCACCATGAGACATAATTAATAAATTAAAAATATTATTTTAGTTTTAATTAATTAAAATTATTAACTCAAATATTAAAGTATTTAGCATAACCGTTTACTTATACGAAAAATGCGATTTGGCTTGAAGACCATAAATTAGGAATTAACGCTAAATGATTTTCACTAAACTTGAATATTTTTTTAATTATAAAACATTTGAAGTTAAAGATTTCTAAGCAAGTTTGAAAATTGTTATGTCCTCAGGTAAAAGGAACATAAATTTTAAAACATTAATTTTTAAGCCTCGATTCTCGTCTAATAGTTTGGGAATCTTATCGAATTAAATATTTATAATACAGAAATAAGCTGCAATCATTTTTTCTGCTTATCATTTTCAATTTGTGGTGAGCACGCGACTTACTCCCCACCCCGCCTTTCCAAGGTCATTAATGTTTACAAACAGTGGAAATGAAAGAAATATTAAAACAAAAAGATGAAAAATTTTAAAAATTAGTTTTTTGTTTCTTTGTTTCAGATAATAATTACGAGCTGAATCATGCCCACTATCTTTCTCGAATTTTTTTTTTCATTTTACTACATACTTTATAATTCAAATTAGAAATTTAGAATGACTTGTTATTTTTAAAATTAATGTTTGTTAAATATTTAAGAATTTATAGCAAGCATAGATCTGAAGATGTTCCAAACTCATCCGCTTTCTGTGACTTTGGTGGACTGGAACTTTTCTTTTGCATAAGAAGCAGTTTGAGCTTTTCTTGTACAAAACTTGTGTTAGCAACTTCATTGCACATAAAGTACGCAGCTGATCTTACCGCTAACTTACAAGTTGTTCCTACATGTGGCCATAAACCAAACACCAACTACTTCTAGTGACTATCACTCTCTTCCTGATTGGACACGACATAAAATTTACTTTTTTATGACTAACCTTTTCTCTCTCCTCATATGGCACATATTGAACTTATTCTTCCTCTTCCAAATAGGACAATTGATGTTGGGGAATTAATTAAAATAAAAAAAATTTAAATAATTAAAACAAAAAATATATTTAAAAATTTTATGTTTGATTCAAATTTAAAAGTTGATTATAAAGAATTTAAAATCAACCACAACTAATGTTTGAATTAAATATATTATTTCTTTAACCCTTTAATGGCCAGTGGTACAGATATACGTACCACCTACTTCAAAAAATCATAACTTTCTTAAAACTTAACGGATCAACTCCGCTAAGGTCTCATTTTGAAGGAGTGAGCGAGAGTAACAAATACATATGCATTTCATTTTCCAAAAAAACTACCCTTTTTGAAATACACCCCTTCAAAAAAACGCAAAAAATGACAAAAATTAAAAAAAAAGGTATAAATTTAAGAAAAGATCTTTTCACGGCTTTCACAGCAACTGTATGTTTAAAAATATTGTAAACTTTGTAAAAAAAACGAATAACAAAAATTTAACTCAGAATAAAAAAAAATTAATGAAAACTACCCCCAAAAAACCAAACAATTTAAAAATCTACCAAATTCGCCTAAAATTTGTTACTCGGGGGTTTTCGGGGTTGCTGATTACGAATCCGATGTCAGTTTTCAAAAATTCAAAATGGTGGATTTATGGCAGACCATAAATTGAAAATTTATCAGATTCGACTGAAACTTGTTACTTGGGGGGTTTTTAGGGTCATTGATTACGAATCCGATGTCAGTTTTAGAAGATTCAATATGGCGGATCCAATATGGCGGACAATTTTATCAAAATTTCTCAAATTTGCATAAAATTTGTTACTCGGGGGTTTTTAGGGTCGCTGATTACGAATCTAAAGTAAAATTTCAAAAATTCAAAATGGCGGACAATTTTTTCAAAATTGCTCAAATTTGCATAAAATTTGTTACTCTGGGGTTTTTAGAGTCGCTGATTGTGAATCTGAAGTCAGATTTTAAAAATTTTAAATGGACAAAATTTTTTTCAAAACATGTTAAATTTTATGAAATTATTTTCAAAGTTAAGGCATTATCATAAAATTTACATATTCTAACTCGTTTATTACGGAGTCGATGATTGCGAATATAAAGTGAGTTTATCAAAATTCAAAATGTCCGATTCAAAATGGCGGACAAATTTTAATCACTGTCTTGAATTTTTATGAAATTAAAAGTTTTTTTTTTTAAATTCTACCCCTATGATGCCTCATGTCAGCAACATCACTGATGAAAAAAGCAATCGGAAAGCATATATTTTCTCTCTCATCTTTTTTTCTTTTCATCTCATCTCTCTTGATCCTAATAAAGGCGCGGAGAGTGCGCAACTCTCTCTCTTTCTGTCATTTGTCGTACTATATATCGCTCTCGCCATTTCACGCATTTTCACGTGCAACACTATACTGTTGACGGCCACGCGAACACGTAGCCGGTCTGAGAGAAAAATTGTCTCATACAAAATAAATAATAACTGACAACAACAACTTACCGAACACTAGTCTTTGAGCATGTAAACGATGTATGTATATCCACTCGATATATTCACTGCTAGAAAATAATCGAAAATTCGCGCACGAAACACAACCCGCACACAGCGATCCACATTCCACCATAGAGAATCTGCGACCGCGCCGCAGACGCGGAACGAATTCACGCCCGCGTTGTAAAATAGTTCCCTTGAAAATTTAATATTTAACATGCAAAACAGGACAAATCTAACATAAAAATATTTATTTAAACTGATAAATAAGTTTTGTAATTATATCGTATTTTTTTTTTATTCTTTATTCTCGACATATTGTATCCGCCATTTTGAATTTTTCAAATCTAACCAGCTTTAACGTTGTAACTGATAATAAAGCTCGGACTAATATTTTTTATTATCAATTATGAATATTTATTTTTAATTATAAAATTTTGATACTTATATATTTATATAAAAATAAATAAAGCTGTGCAAGATTTACTGAAACAGATGGAAATTGACCACAATTGAGAAATAATTGTAATGAGGAAATTTATGATGATGTTGATGAAACTTGAAATGAAACTGATGATGAAAAATATTGATTTATCAAAATTCAGTTAAAGAATTAAATAAATTTATTATTTGTTGTGCATTTTGTAATTAACTTGTTATAAAGAATAAATGAAAATTGTTTAATCATCAATTATTTTTGACGTAACTTTAAAACCAATTCATTTGCAGAGTAATTACATTTTTACCTTATCTGGTAAATAATTTTGTAGATAATTATTCAAACTAAATATAATATTTTTAATAATTTCAAACTAGTGCAAAAACTATAAATTAGAAGGAGTGACAATATAGATTAAATGCCATTCGAGAAAAATTTTCTACAATTTTTTTTTAAAACTTAAGAATCAATTTCATATATTATTTATAGGGTATGAAAATAAGTACATACATAACTTTTTCAATGGTTAGTAAATTTTATTCTATCACGAATACTTTTTTCGTTACATTGTAATTAATAAATTTGTTAATAACTAATAACTATGGATAAAGTACAATTTTTCTGCATAAATTTAAATCTATATTGTGAAAATTTGCAAAAAATTCATTATCATAACATTAATATATTCGCATATAGAGTAAAAATATTGTATTAATATTGTACAAAATAAAATATTGATAAAGAATAATTTTTAGAATTACTCATTTTAACAACATTTAATTGTTTTGCACTTTTTCCGTGAATGTTTTGAACAATCGCAACATTCGTCAGACTCACTACTGCTGGAACCGCTAGAACTGGAATCTGATTCGCTGCTACTGCTCGAGTCGCAACTACAACCACTGGAACAATATTTGAAAGCATTAAAGAAAAAATGTGAATTTAAATTTTCTCGAATAATTAAAATTTCGAAAAATTTCCACCGTATAACTCAATTTAAAATTTTGTATTATTTTTTTTCTACAGTTTTTCTACTAAAATTATTCTCAAATTCAATTATTTTTAATAATTACGAAGAAATTCACTTTAAAAAATAAATCGTAGGTACTTTAAACACACTTTTGACTAAATAAAACAAACGCACTTAACCAAAATAATTAGTTATCTTAACCAAATTATTTGGTTATCATTAAAAATTTTAATTTATAAACGCACAAATATAGGTTTAACCAAATTACGAAAACAATTATAAGTGCGGAATTCCAATCGAATTACTATAGGAATTTAAAATTAAAATATTGGTTTAGACAAGAAAAATTGTTTTAAAAAAACGATATTGTTATCAGCACTAATGTCTATTTTCATGGTGCATGTCAAATATTATTTTTAGAGTAAGTAAATCTTAAATAAATATTTTAAATTACCTATTATCACAATCTGGCTTGCAACAGCAGTTCTCGTTTGGAGCAGGAGTTGTTGTTGTTGTTGATGTTGTTGTTGTTGTTGTTGGTGTTAGTGTATTGATAATTTTCAATAAATCTTTTATTATTCTTATAGGTTCAGTTAATTTTAGTTTATCCAACTTTTCTTTTATTGCAGTAATTTCTTTCACTTTTTTAAAATTCTCGTAAACCTTATTTTGGGCATCCATTTTAAAATTAGCAAAATTATCTAGATCATTAAATTTTTTTAACAAGCTTTCTAAATCAATTGCATTTAATTTCGATACGTATTCAGCAAAAGAATCAGCATGAGATTTTATGGAATTTTCAATGTTTGATTGTACAGATTTATAGATGTCGTTTGTATCCGAAATAAGTTTTAATAGTTTTGTTTTAACATTATTTTCTGAATTATCTTTTGTTTTTGCGTCATCTGTTAATTTTTTATAATCATTCAGAGCATTCATTAATTGTTCCAACTCTGTTTTTATATCCTTCAGTGGTTTAAGTGTATCTACAATTAACAATAGTTAATAAAAATAACAGTGTATTAAATAAAATTAAAATTTAATTGTTTAACAATAATAAAAATAATTTCCAATTGTAATAATTTAATGAAAACATAATTTAAATCATTTCAATATAATAAATTCTTATTAATTCAAAAATTGAAAGAAATTAGTAATTAATTATTCAAAAATAATTGTTTTAATAGTCAGTTTATGCTTTGTTCATGCGCAGTGACCCATTCACACACATACTATAACAATAATATTGTTTACAATACATTAATATTATTATTTATAAAAAAGTACAATGAATAACAAAAAAAAGTCATTTTTTGCTTACCAGGATCAGTTGTCTGTGCATCTGAACATATAAAAATAATAAACAGAATGCCAAGGATAATAGAAAAGAATTGAGAGCTATTCATTGCGTTTTTTTCTCGTTTTTTTATTATTTCAATAAAATTCTATTTAAATTTTGTGAAAAATGGTGTTTCACTTGCTTTATATATACTAAAATTCATCATTATCTATAAATAAAAAATATTTTCAAATCTCTCAAAAATCACGTTTTAGTTTTATCAATTTGTTTACAGTATTAAAACAATGAATAATAAAATGATTAAGCACGTGAGTTATAAATAATTAAAAACCGAAATTTTAAACAAAAAATAATTTATATAATTTGCTGCTTCATTCTTTTTGTTCTCAAAATAATTAATGAGAAAGTTAATTATTTGTAATAAGATATGAAATAAAGTTAAATGAAAGAAATGTAATAAATTTTATTGAATTTAGCATTATTAATCAATATGACGCATATTTTTTTCTTTTAAATTCATTAAAATAATAAAATATTCATTCATAATGACTGCGATAAATTTACAGTAAATATAAATAAATAATTAAATTATCAAGTTCAAAAATTAATGAATTATGAAAATAAAATTAACTTTTTTGTATTTAATATAATATTATAAAAATAAAATAATGAAATAAATAAATAAACTTACAATGTCCACTTGTACAATTTTTTCCAATTCTTCATTAAAAAAAAGAAAAATTTTTTAAATTTCCAAAAATTTATTGATACCTAATAAATTGATAATTTATATTTTTTAACAAATATTTACATTCAGAGAATTTTAAAAAAATGGCTTATTTTTAGAAAGTTTAAAAAGAATATTTTTTAATAATTTTCTAATAAGTTTATAAAAGCGTTATATTCCATTTTTATTAAAATTATATTTATTATTATTTTTAATTTTGAAAATATGACTTCAGATTGGTAATCAGCGACCCCAAACCCCCTATAGTAACAAGTTTTTAGCGAATTGAAGGAATTTTGAAAAATTGTCCGCCATATTGGATCCGACATTTTGAATTTTGAAAATCTGACTTCAAATTCGTAATCTGCGGCCCTGAAAACCTCCGAGTAACAAGTTGTTTGGAAATTTGAGTACTTTTGAAAAAAATATCCACCATATTGGTTCTGACATTTTTAATTTTGAAAATCTGATTTCATATTCGTAATCAACGACCCCAAAAACCGGGGTTTAATGAAAACAAAATTGCTGCTTTCAATTGATTGTGTTTTTTTAACAAACAGACGAAATTTACGAAATTGGAAAATTATAATAATTGATAATCATTGGGAAAAATTATTCTTTAGAAGGAGAAATAATTTGGGTTCTTTTTAGTCAAAATTCAAACGTAATTTCCTTATTTTAAAAATTTTAGAATTTTTAAATTTTTTTAATATAGAATTGTTTTAATATATTCATATATGAAAGTTTAATTCATTAAATATGAAAATTTAACTTTTTAAATAAAAAAGTTATTATTAATAAATTTTTACACAATTAAGCTCAATAATATTGTAAATAAATTGTTCTTAAACATTACATGCTTATATTTGATTTCAAAATAACAAGGTGTGATTTAGCAATGATATTATACAATTATTGCATAAAAATACTAACAAGCATATTTGAATTGAACACAAAAATATTTATTGATTATGTTCGTAAAAAATCATTACACATACTTTTTGATTATTATTATTATTTAATGACCTTATTTAAATATATATGTACGCCTTTTACATTTCTTGATTATAAGAAAATTTTTAGTTTTAAAAATTATTATTGTAAGTTGTAAAATTATAAAATTTTAAAATTAAGACAAGAAAATATTAAAATTTCAAAGTTGCAATCGATTTTTAAAATTCTCAATTAAAGAATATTAAATTTAAATTTTCTTTTAGATTTTTTAAAATTATTATTTATTATTTACAACAACATTCCTTAGAACTGGATGAACTGGATGAACTATCACAATCGCACTTACAGTAACTGTTGAAATTATGTTGATATAAAATAAATTAATTAAAATTTGTTCAATTTATTTATATACAAATAAAATATAATTAAAATAAATTTCTTATATAATATTAAACAATAAAATTTTATTTTAATTTTTTAACGTAAAAAGAAAATAAAAGATAAAGGAATTTAAAAAAAGGAAACCATTTTTTTGTTCTTTTAAAACAATAATTTTACTCTACTCAGGCTTCACACTCAATAATTAATTTTAAAAAAGTATCAAGAAGTAGCTTTAATACTGAAAAAAGTAGTAAAAAAGTAGCTATCGAAAATTAATTTTTACGAATAAAAAAAAAATTGTTTTAGTCGATTAACAAAAATTTGATTCAGTATTTCCCTGAGTTTTTCCTGATTTCAATCAAAAATATTTATTTTTATTCTAATCCTGATGCTGAGAACTTTAATTCTAAATTTTTGAAAAATTCAATTATTTTCTAAATTTTTATCCTAAAAAATACAATTGTATTTAAAAGTAATTTTTTAAAGTAAACAAATAAAATTATTTTAAAAAATGTCATTTAAATTGTTCACAGGAATTAAGAAAATAAATTTATAATTTTTTAAAGTAAAATTTTAAATGTTATTTCAGTTTTACAACAATTAAAATTTTCAACGATCTCAATTTAATAATCTTTTAAAATTTAGTTATTTCTAAAATTTCCTGCTATAATGCTTCTAATATTTAATTATTATCTAAAATTTCAACTATGAAATTGGTTTTTCAATCAATTCTTATTAGAAAGTTCAAAAGAAATTCAACTATTTTTAAATACAAAAATAAATTCTTAAAATTTAATTCTTATAAAGAATTTAATTATCAATTTTTTAAAAAATTGAATTCTTTGGAAGAATTTTAATAAAATTTTTTAGAATATTTCAAATGATTTCAATGTAGCGCATTTTTGAAATTTTACTATTTCTTAAAATGTTAAAATTACAAAAGTAATTCTTTCAAAATCCAATCATTTTTTTTTAAATTTATAAATAAAATAATTCAAATCTTCAGTCATATTATTTTATTCTATTTTAAAACAATTCTTAAGAAAGATCTACGAGAATTCAATTATTTAAATTCAAAAATACATAATTTATTGAATAATCGAATATTTCTTAAATTTCAATTCTTATTACTAAGAACTTTTATCAATATTTTTTGAAATAATTGAATTTTTACGAAGAATTGCTTTAAAATTTTTGATAATAATTAAATTCATTCATGAAATGTAATTAAAAATGAATTGAAAATAATTATTACACTCTACGTAACAAATTATATTTAAAAAATATTTTAAATAATTGAATTCTTTCGAACAATTTTATTCAAATTTTTTAAAATAATTGCTTTTTTAGCGAAATTAATTTTAAATTATATTAAAAATAATTGAAATCTTGCGATGAGTTTTATTATTTATAGAAATAATTGAATTTTTGTCACCGAACTTTAATAATTGAATTTCTTTGAAAATTCTATATGATTTATGAAAATAATTGAATTCTTTTAACAACTTTTATTAAAATTATATTGAAAACAATTTAATTATTATAAAGAATTTCATTAAAAATTTTTAAAATAATTGAATTCTTTCAAGGATTTTATTAAAATTATTTGGGAAAATAATTGAATTGTGAAGAATTTTATTAAAATTTTTAAAACCTAGGTAATTAAGAAGCATTTTATTATTTATGCGAAAATAATTGTATATTCTTGCCTGGAATTTTATTTAAATTTTTATAAATAATTGAATTTTTCGTGAAAAAAATGTTATTGCTTGTGAAAATAATTGAATTCTTGGGGTAGAATTTTATAAAAAGTTTTTAAATTGATTTTTTCGTTTAAAACAATTCTTCGATAATTGAATCGTTTTAAATAATTTTATTACAATTTTTTTATTTCAACTATTATAAATAATAAAGGTGAAAGAAGTTAACAATTTTTCCGAATCAATCTCACAAATAAACTCTCTTTAAATAAGTCATATAAAGCCCATGAGCTTATTAAAAGATTTATTTAAGAGATTTTATTTGTGAGATTGATTCGGAAAAATTTTTAACTTCTTTCACCTTTAATATTTAATTACCGAATGATAAATTCATTTCCTTTAACTATTATAAATAATATTATAAACATCATAAAGATATTTTAATTATTTTCAGCAAAGGAAAAATTTGCTCCCTGATGTATACTTACTGATAAATATATTGACTCATCATGATGAGTCAATATATCAGGTAGCGCACTTTTTTTTTTTTTATTTGAAAATAATTAAAATATCTTTATAATGTTACTAATAATTAGTATATTCATATCGAAATTAAACAGAGAGTATGCATCATTAATTGAAATTATGTATGCCAAATCACATTTTTGTTATTTAAGAATTTTTGAAAATGTGACTTTATAAAATAATACAAATTTAAAAAAAAAAAAAATTTTAACAAAGAAGGGTGTTCTTATATATAATCCGAATGCAGAAACATTGTACATCAAAAAAGTATACAAACTTTGTTCTTTTTATAATACTTCTACAATACAAAATATACAAAATATGAAGAATATACAATTATTTTTCATTCTTTTCGGCATTTTATGCACATTTTTCTTTATATACTCTGATGCACGGCCTAAATCATCAGAAGATTCTATGTTATCGAAGGTATATTGAACAAAATTTCCTTGAATCAAATAAAATTTATATCATTATTATTTTGTGTTTTATTATTTCATTGCTATTACTTAATTTTTTGGTATTTCTTTTTTTATTATTTATATTATTTCAATTAAATGATTTTTACTTGTTTATTTATTCATCAAGTAGGATTCAAATTTTAATTTCACAATTTAAAATTAGAATCCTACGAGGATCGAACCTAGTACTTATCTAAAAATTTAACCCTAATTTATTAAAGCGCTTAACGACTGCTGCTATTGTACCAATTTGAGAATTGGAATAAATTTCAATTGAATTGTATTTTTATAGAGAATATTATCGAGAGTAAAAAAACAGGCTGAACTTTCTACAGGTAATAAAATAAATATTTTTAATAAGAATGATGGTAAGAGTGTAATATAATTTCAATGAGACACTTTATTTCTTCTATATTCTTAATTTTTATTTACGTATATATGTATATTTATAAGTACATTATTAATAAAGCATATTAACTCATTTTTATTTTTTTTAATTTTTTCAAAAATTTTCTAAACTTTTTAAAAATATTTTTTAATTTTTATACATCTATTTAATAATATTCTTTGAAAAAAGTGAATACATTAATAAAAATAAATTAATTAATATCATGTTTCCATAAAATAGTATTTAAATTTTTAGTATGAAATTTTTTGTTATTTTTAATCCAAAGTTTTTTATTTCTATTTTTGTGATGAAATGATTTATTAAAGGAGCACCAAAACCAACTTCTGACCCGTCGACGATAAAACCGACGACGACGACGACGACGACGACGACGATAAATCCATGCTGCTGTGAAATTTGTACAGAATGGTAATTAAAAATATTTATCTAATATTAATATAATTATTTATAAAAACAATGGTATTCTTTTTCTTAAATTCCTTTATTTTTTATTTTTTTCATTTAAAAAAAAATTAAAGTTTATTGTTTAATATTATATTTGAGGATTTTATTTTAATTATTTATTTTCATAAATAAATTGAACAAATTTTAATTAATTTATTTTATATCAACATAATTTCAGCAGTGACTGCAAATGTGATTGTGACGACAGTTCATCCAGTTCAGAGGAATGTTGCTGTTGCTAATAAAAAATTTAAAAAATTTTTAAAAAAATCTATGAGTAAATTTAAATTTAATATTCTTTAATTGAGAATTTTAAATATCGATTATAACTTTTAAATTTTAATGTTGTCTTGTCTTAATTTTACAAATTACAATAATAATTTTTAAAATAAGAGAAATTTTCTTATAATCAAGAAATATGATGTATATTATATTGAAATATAGTCAATAATAAATAATTATTTTCTGAGAAAAATTGAATTTTATTTATTTCAATGTTTCGTTCTATTTAGAATTAAAGAATTAATTTTTAGAAATTTCGAATCACTTTTGTTCTAATTTGTTCAAATATTTACGAATTCAAATTTTTAATAAGTTGCGTGTTAATATTATTGCAAAAAAAATTTATAAATTAATTTATTTTTCATTATTTTATATATGAATTATTTTCTATTTTAAAATATAACATTTTTAATAACATTCTTAATAACATTTTATATTAATTTTTATATTACTTTTTTGTAATTTTTGTAACTTTTTGAGTATTTTGAATCTGAAATATGTAATTTAATTTTTACTTAGAATTTTATTAAACTTTTTAAAAATAATTTAATTGTACTGAAGTATTTTATGAAAATTTTGAGCGAAAACAATTATATTAAATATTCTTTTGAGAAATTTAATTAAAATTGTATTGAAAATAATTAAATCCTTATAATTGAAATCTTTTGAAAAATTTTATTAAAATTATATTGAAAATAATTAAATTTGTTTCAAAGAATTTTATTAAAATTACATTTTTTTAAATTTTGTAGGTATATCTAAAATTATATTCAAAAATGGAACATGATTTTTGATAATAAAAAATTTTGTAATTTACATAATTATAATAAATTAAATAGCCAGTTTTATTATTTATAGAAATTGCAAGCGCAACTTTTATAAAATTTAATTATTTTTTGAATTTTTAAATAAAATTATTCACAAAATTATTTTTAAAAAAATTTTTTTTAATTTTAAAAAAATTTCGAATTTTTTTATGAATTCTAGAAATTGTATATATATTTTTACCCTGTTAAATTACTGAACATAAAAACAATTACTAAGTGTGTTAAAGTCTGCGACTTTTTTTGTATTTGTTGAGTATATATACGTATTTAAAAAAAAATTATCAGGATTTTATTATTAAGACATGTATAGCGATAAAATTCGCATGTATCATTTATCTAAATAATTTTAAAAAATTGTAATAATGTAAACAATTTTTAAAATATCAGAGGCGTGACATTTTTCTTCGATTGCGAGATGAAATCGATGTTTACATTTTTGATTCATTTATAAATTATTTTTTATTCGAATTTCATATAGATTTGATTAATAAAAAAGAATTTAAAAAAAATAAAAAATTTTTTTTATTAAATAATAAATAAATTATGTAAGGGTGATTAAAATTAAAATGTTATTTTCATGTCCTGCTCCAAAATCTGGAATAAGTGTTCCTATAGGTGTAAAAGTTTTTAAATCAATTAATTTTCTTAATAACTCGCTCTGCTTAAATTAATAATTTTTATTCCTACCATTTCTGCCTATACTGTTAGAAAATTGTATAATAATTTTAAATTCTGTGAAACGTAATAACTAATAACAACAAAAATTTTTTTATTTACATATAGATATATAATTTAAAATCAGATGTGCTTAATCACTTTTTTTTATTTATAATTTTATTTCGTTTAAATCGATAATAGTTTTATATTTAATAAAAGATTACGATAAAATATATTTCTTTCAAAAATCACATCTCACCATTGATAATAATACTAATGATAATAATTACCATTGGTGGGAAGATCTATATATATATATTCTGAAAATGTAAATTTTCTTCACAGTATTTCGTAGAGAATTCAAATGGTAGTTTGATATAAAAATGTCAAACAATTATATGCATTTATTCTACTTTGGTTTTTTTATTACTTATATTTTAATATGTACAAATATAAATGGCAACGTATTAAATCAGAAAGAGTTACAGGTAAGTTGAATTTAAATTTATTTAATTTTGTACATTATTCACTGTGTTTTTTTTAAATTAATTTTTTATTCATTTTTTTGTTTAATTTTTTTCTTACATTTTTTAACATGTCAATTTTATTTATTTAATTTTGTACATTATTCACTGTGTTTTTTTTTAATTCATTTTTTATTCATTTTTCTTATTTAATTTTGTTTTCTTGCATTTTTTAACATGTCAATTTTTTATTTATTCTATATTTTTTATTCTTATTTGATAAAAATACATTGTAATAATTGTATTGTTATTGTAGGTATATAATATATATTACGAAACCCACAAATTTAATCATTAAAAAAATGTTTAACATTATTGTTTAAAAATTTAAGATTATTATTTGTTTGTTTATTTGGTACTAATTGTACTTTACTTTCTTTTTCATTTAGAATCAACATTCAAAACTAATGGTCAAACGATCGTTGAAAGGTAACATGAATTTAAAATTATTTATTATATTCAGAAAATTTGAAGAAAATTTTATTAATAATTAAATTTAAATCATATAAAAATAATTATTGTATTTATGATAATTATCATATAACTATAATTAATATTATTATAATATCTAACGCGTTCCGAATAAAGGTACCTAAGAAGTAAAAATTTTTAGGTTATGTTTGTAATTTTTGGAATTGAAATATACAAAGAGGATCAACTTTCAATGTAAATCACTGATGTTTAAGTTTTCGTCATTACAGCAAAAAATTGATAAAAATTTATTTTAGTTTTAAATTAAATGAAAATTTGCAATTAAGGTAAAAATAACACAAACATAACCTTAAAATGATTTGCTTCTTTGGTACCTTTCTTCGGAGCTCATCACATATATGTATATTATAGTATATAATAATAATATTATTAGTTAGTTAGTCTTTATAATAATATAATAATTATAATAATTATATATTTTATATATTATAATTTTTATATATAATTATATATAATTTATAATATTATCAAAAAATTAAATTTATTTTTTTAATTTTAAATTTAAGAAATAATTAAGAATACTTAAATTTTAAATGACAGAAATTTTGAAATACCAAAACTAAAACATATACAGATAAATAATCAAAAGTGTGAAATAAAAATATTGATTTTTAATTTTTCGAAAGTAAAATAAATTTCACATATAACGAATATAAGTGCTTATATCGCATCTTTATAATTGCAACTTATTATATTTCAAATCAAATCATTACAAAATAATATAGTAATGCAATAAAACTGATTTCATAACTTTTATTTCAAAATACTTTTTTTCAACTTATCGATTAATTATTTAATAAATTTTATAAACCAAAACCATATTTTTGATTTTGAGAATTTTTTTAAATTTTTTTTTTTCGTTAAATATTGTTTAATTCTTTACTGAAGTTTTAATGAATATTTTCTTACATTTAATTTTCAAATTGAAACAAAACTATACGCGCTTTTGTGTTTTATAAATATTTTTAAGGCATTAAAAAAGTAATATTTACACAATTTTCATGGATAGTGTAAATTTTATTGAAATTGGCTGAATAGTAATTCGAAATTTATCAAAGAATAATTTTAAAAAAATTTAGAATTCAATATGGCGGACTAAAAATTTCAAAAATAATTTATTAGCTATACTTTAAATATTTTTGCACAAAAAGTCTTGAATTTGATATGTATCATCTATATTTATTTTTTTTCGTTCGTTGATTTAAATTAATAAAAGAGTTTCTTGTATCGCTTTTTTGATGTACAAAAAAGTTAAAATTTAAAAATAAAAAAATGTATATGTGCCATAATTTTATTGTATATAATATATAATATTACTGTATGGTACCTATGGTATGTATAACATCAACTTAGCTTAAATTTTATTTTTCAGATTGTTGTAAAAAAAATTGTACCTCTACAGACAAGGATGAGTGTTGCATATTATTAGATTGTAAAGCAGAGAAAAATCACAATCACCATTGGTAAATATCCATTATTGAAATAATTTTTTGTTATTTAATATCATGAGACGATTTTTAATTTTTTTCGAAAATTAACATTTCACGAAAAAGTGAACTATTTATTAGTGCATTCATCTTAATTTCGATAAACTTTTTTTCTACATTTATACACTTTTTATTTACCAAAAAAAGAAATTTTTTTTTAAAACAAACTAAAATATTATAAAGAATTTCTGCTAAATTTCCCCCACCCTATTTTTTACATAATTCCTCATAATAAAACTTATTCGTATAACTAGTAACTAATTATGCATTTTTCTTTCCACAGCTGTAAACATAGTAAAAAAGATTGTTGCTCTGATTCTAGTAGCAAATCTTGTTCTGACTCAGGTTCTTGCTCTGGTTCTGAGTCTAGTGAATCTAGCGAATCTAGTGAATCTAGCGAATCTTGTGAATCTGGCAATTCTTGTGAATCTAGCGAGTCTAGTGATTCTAGTGATTCTAGTTCAGAAGAATGCGATCATCATCATCATCATTGCAAATGTAAACATAAATGTGATTCTGACTGCAAGTCAGAGGAATGTAAAATAAAATGTAATTCTGAATGTAAGAAAGATGAATGTAAAGAGAAATGTAATTCTAACTGCAAGACAGAGGAATGTAAAACAAAATGTAATTCTGAATGTAAGAAAGATGAATGTAAAGAGAAATGTAATTCTGATTGTAAGAAAGATGAATGTGAAAAGAAATGTACTTCTGATTGTAAGAAAGATGATCACAAATGTAAAGATACGTGCTCAGAAAATTGTATTACCCTCGAATGCTGCTAATTCATCAACAAATGAAAACTGTACCGAAAAATCAATCAGTATTTAAATATTACATATAAACTCATTATTAATTTATCTAAATTGTTATTTAAGCATATTAGACAAAAAAAATATATAAAACTATTAACAACAATCTAAATTAATCAAATGGTACCCTTCCATTATTATATTAATAATTTTAAAACATAACGATCATATAAAGTAAACTTCAATTTTCCGTTATAAATACGACGTTTCATTTTGACATGGATTTTTCCAATCAAAAATATGAGAATTGCAATAAAAAAATATTACACCAAAATAAACATTTTTAAAAATTACAGTATGCATAAAAACATTGAGCATTAGAACGATTACAAATAATTAAAGAATATAAATGTTTAATAACGTCTGCATTAAATTATTTATTAATAATATTCATATATCTTCAAATTTTTCTGAGAATGAAGTTCTCTTCATACGAATTAGATTGCTAGTGCTTTAACTTTTTTAAAGCAAATTCCATATTCTATAAAACCCAAACACAGGCTACACACCCAATAATTAATTTTAAAAAAGTATCAAACTGTAGCTTTAATACTAAAAAAAAGCAATAAAAAAGTAACTATCGAAAATTAATTTTTACGAATAAAAAAAAAAGTTTTAGTCGATTCACAAAAATTTGATTCAGTATTTGCCTGACTTTTTCCTGATTTCAATTAAAAATCTTTATTTTTATTCTAATCCTGCTGAGAACTCTAATTCTAAATTTTTGAAAAATTCAATTATTTTCTAAATTTTTATCCTAAAAAATACAATTGTATTTAAAAGTAATTTTTAAAAGTAAACAAATAAAATTATTTAATAAAATTACATTTAAATTGTTCACAGGAATTAAGAAAATAAATTAATAATTTTTTTGAAGTAAAAATTTAAATGTTTTATATAGTTTTTCAAACAATTATACCTACAATTTTCAACGATTTCAATTTATAATAATTTATTAAAATTTAATTGTTTCTAAAAAAAATCGTATTATAACGCTTTTAATATTCAATTATTATCTAAAATTTCAACTGAAATTCGATTTTAAATCAACTCTTAATTAGAAAGTTCAACCAAAATTCAACTATTTAAATACAAAAATAAATAATTTATTGAATAATCGAATATTTCTTAAATTTCAATTCTTATAAAGAACTTTTATCAATTTTTTTTAAAATAATTGAATTTTTACGAAGAATTGCATTAAAATTTTTGATAATTAATTAAATTCATTCATGAAATGAATTGAAAATAATAATTATTATTATTATATTATTATTACTATTATTATTATTATTATTATTATTATTATTATTATTATTATTATTATTATTATTATTATTATTATTATTATTATTATTATTATTATTATTATTACTCTAAAAAACAAATTATATCAAAAATATTTTAAACAATTGAATTCTTTCGAACAATTTTATTCAAATTTATAAGAATAATTGCGTTTTTAGCGAAATTAATTTAAAATTATATTAAAAATAATTGAAATCCTGCGATGAGTTTTATTATTTATAGAAATAATTGAATTTCTTTAAAAATTGTATATTATTTATGAAAATAATTGAATTCTTTATAATTAAAATCTTACGATGAGTTTTAATTTATATATATATATATATATATATATATATATATATGGGACATTCCACGTCAACACAGACAGAGCTCTAAACAAAAATTGCTTTGATGGATTTAAACGTTCTAGGGCTTAAAAGATTTCTACGTTCATGTACTTTAAGATGCCGATGGGCGTTTTTTGAAAAATTCCATTTCCGATGCCAATAGAACTGTCAAAAGTCAAAAGGTCCAAAAATCTCAAAATACTTTTATGAATTAAAAGCAAAAAACGAGGTAATTTATTCTGTAACTCATTCTTTATCAGTTTTTAAGGTTCCCGAATATAAATCTAAAGTTTTTTTTTAAAAATCCAAAATGGCGAATTCAATATGGCGGACAAAATTCAAATTTGATCAGATTCGATTAAAACTTGTTACTCGGGGGTTTTTAGGGTCGCTGATTACGAATCTGAAGTCACTTTTTAAAAATTCAAAATGGCGGATCCAATATGGCAGAAAAAATCTTCAAATTTGATCCGATTCCCTTAGAACGTGTTACTCGGGGGCTTTTGGGGTCGCAGATTATGAATATGAAGTTACTTTGTAGAAATTCAAAATGGCGGATCAAATTTTTTAATTTGATCAGATTTAATTAAAAAGTGTTACTCGGTGGTTTTTAGCGTATCTGATTATGAATTTGAAGTCTCAAACACAAAGTAACTTCATATTCATAATCTGCGACCCCAAAAGCCCCCGAGTAACACGTTTTAAGGGAATCGGATCAAATTTGAAAATTTTTTCCGCCATATTGGATCCGCCATTTTGAATTTTTAAAAAGTGACTTTAGATTCGTAATCAGCGACCCTAAAAACCCCCGAGTAACAAGTTTTAATCGAATCTGATCAAATTTGAATTTTGTCCGCCATATTGAATTCGCCATTTTGGATTTTTAAAAAAAAACTTTAGATTTATATTCGGGAACCTTAAAAACTGATAAAGAATGAGTTACAGAATAAATTACCTCGTTTTTTGCTTTTAATTCATAAAAGTATTTTGAGATTTTTGGACCTTTTGACTTTTGACAGTTCTATTGGCATCGGAAATGGAATTTTTCAAAAAACGCCCATCGGCATCTTAAAGTACATGAACGTAGAAATCTTTTAAGCCCTAGAACGTTTAAATCCATCAAAGCAATTTTTGTTTAGAGCTCTGTCTGTGTTGACGTGGAATGTCCCATATATATATATATATATATATATATATATATATATATATATAAGTTTATTTGTTTCGGACCACTGGCCCATACAAAAGAGTTGACTTAAGTCATCCTTATCAGTTACATTTTACTTTATGGTAATCCTAATTTTTTAACAACATTCTTTACATATAAATAGTTCATTGTTTTCACTCCATGTGTATCCGGATTGTTTAAAAGGTCGATACAAAAATCCTTTATCACTGATTCATCCTCACTATTACATAGGTATTGTTTTCTGATATTTTTAAACATTTGACACTCTATTAATATGTGATATAGTTCTTTCCCTCTCAAAATAGGTTCTCCACAGCAATTAATATTATTTAAATTCAATATTCCTTTTTTGTAGATTATTCTTAAATTGTATTTGTTGGTTAATCTAATTTGAGCAAACACTTTAATAAAAAAAGAGTGGCAATTTCAATTTCAAGTAGGTTTGAGCTCCCTCTCTCAAAGTGAGATGAGGAAGTATCTGAAAAGAACTGGAATTTGATAGGGAATTTACATCTTCAATATGCAGAAAATTTTCATATGTTTTTGATAATCGTTCTTTGTTTCCCTGAATAAATTCGAGATTCCAAACAATAGTTTCTCCCATATCTGCGAACATTTTTTCTACTTGTGCACACCAATTATATTTAATATTACATTTCGAAGCTTTCGATTGATTAATTAATTGTAATAAACAAAATTTGGGGTATCTTTCATTGCCCATACTTAAAATTTTTTCAATTAGGTTGAATGTCTGTTTAAAAACTTTACTCGTGAGGTTCCGGTCTTTAACCTGATCGCGTAATTAGGGGTGTTTTGAGGAAGCAACAATAATTTTTTATAAAAAGTCGTTTGTGTTTTTTCTATTTCATTAAGGTATCTGAGGCCCCATATTTGAATTGCATAAAAAAAGGTGCTACTAACTAAAGAATTAAATAGTTTCGGTATTGAATCCCACGAGTTTAACTCCATTCGGTTTATTACTGATATCATGGGATTACCAATCCACATTTATGACATCTTTTTCGCATTTAATTGTCAAATATTCTGTTTTGATATTTATTAGACAGTCTGAACCACACGCTATAATTTTTTGGTACTTTTAATCTAAAATATTTTTGGGTACCATCAAACAACGGCAATTTTGGCAAAATTTGCAAAGATAAGATAAAATTGTTAATTAAAAAAAAAATTTTTACACCATTCGAAAGAGGAGGAAAAAACCTTTCGAAAATATATAGGTCAAAATTTTGTCCACTCTACTGTATTTTAGCTATGTTAGCTAAAGAAATCCACTGTTGACACGTTACCAAAAACTTTAACCCCCTCCCCTCCTTCAATTTTGAATAAAATATATCTTAATATTTTATGGGTAAAGTTCTCTCCTATAGCATTAAAGTTTGTGCAAAAATCAGCCCGATTTGAAGACTTTCGATTTTAAGTTAGGACAATTGAGGAATTTTGCCCCTTATATAAAATATAACTAGACTGCTACTCTAAAAATATAATTAGTTATTTTACAACTAAAATTATTTTCTCTAATTTGGTAAATTATTCAATAATTGTATTTGGACATTTTGGTAGAAATAGAAATCATCACTTTCAGCACTGTAAAGAAAATCTCTACAATGACGAGACAAAATAAAACGTTATGAATTTCTTTTTACAACAATTATTCACATATGCAGAATGCAACATGCAACTTTTTTTTAACCTCGATACGAACTTTTGATGACGTTACATACACAAATATACAAGTCTATATTGTATACACTACTGGTTTACGTAGTAAATGCTGTTGCTGCGTATTGCATATAGCAAAGTGGTTGACACGTTTAACACTCGCGCATCTCCGGAAGTGGGGTTTGTTATTCGTAACTCAATATGGCGGACACTAAGGAACGTAAACAGAGTGGCGATTGTGATACCTCAAACGTTGGTAAGTCATTTAACACGAATTTTCATTCTAATGACAATTTACAAACGTAAACAAATTACTTTCAAATTTCAATAAAATTTATTCTCCCTGGTATATTATACCTAACCTTCAAATTTCATCACCATTCTGATCGATGTCCATCTCCAACTTAGATATGCTTTTCGATAATAATTCTATATCCTCTATTCCTTTCGATATGTTTCATGCATATTGAATGCAATTCTGGAATTAATTTTTCCTTATGACGTCATTTGACACTTGAAAAATATTCTCCATTTTATTCAATATATATACTTATTTGTGAATTATGGAAATTGTTTGACACATGAATGTTTTTTTTCGGAAATTCAACATTGAATTTTGCTTTTCTTCTAATCTGTTTGAAACTATTGAAAATTTAATGGAGAAAAAATGAAATTAAAATTAGTTAATATAGGAAATAAAAATATCTACAGGAAGTGATTATGAATTATGTCAAAGATGAATGAAATTTTTATAAATATTGTCCAATTTAAATAGTATAATATACAATATTTAAAAAATAATAAAAAAAATACTAATTTTCAAAATGTTTTATTTAATAAAATCAAATTATGTGCTTAAAGTGTGAGAAATTGATTTTTATTGTAATTAGAAAAAGCAGCTGATTGCTTTCAAGGCAGAAAGCATGGTGGTGAATGTCTCGCCGTCTAGTGACAATATTCGCAAACAATGTGGATTTAAATTTTAAAGGGCAAATTTCAGAATTTAATTTTAATACTCTTTTTTTATATATTTGTATACGCAGAAAATAATTAATTATTTTTATTTATATCAATAAAATAATTTTATTTTAAAGTTTGGATAATAATTTAAAAAAATATTAATTAGTTTAAAATTTTTAAAAACTCTTTTTTTCAAAATATTGAAACAAAAAAAAATTGTCATCATCGATTTAAAGAGATTAATTTAAATATGGAGAAAAAGGCTGATGTCATCAATATTTATTGAGACTTGTCATGGAGATAAAAATAAAAATAAACCAAGGACAAATTTTAGAAAATAAATTTAATAATTATTTTTGTTTACATTTAGTAAATAATTTATAATTTAAAAAAATGTATAAAAAATTGTAGTTTAAAAAATAATTTTCTTTCTTTAATTTTTATATTTTCTTTTTCATAATTTTCTTTTTAATTGATGCGAATATTAAATTTTTTACTGATAAAATGTAAAGGCTAAAATAAACTTTACATATATTTCTCGATTTGTAAAAAAGTAGCATCGTATACATTATCTAAATTATTAAAGTAGTTACTTTTAAATTATTGAAGAAAAACTTCACTAAATAACAGTCTATTTAACTTTAAAAGAAACCTTTCACTCTAAGCGGATATTCCATTTTATTATTTATTTAAAAAGATTTCCTCTTTGGACAAATGAAAAGTATTTTAAAATCCTTTAATTACCAATAAAAAATTTAGTTTACTATTATAAAAAGAAATGTTTTTAAAAAGAAAAGAAATAAATAGATTATATTAATTTTTTAATTACTTATAAGTATTATTAATTTCATTTATAATACTGGTATTATTTATGAATTAAAAATTAAATAAAATTATTTAAATTGATTAAAATTATTATTATTATATTATTATTTAGTTTAAAAATTATAACTTATATGAGAATTATATTATATAACTATTAATATGAGAACATAATAAGAATAAAAAATAAAATAAATAATAAAAAAATAGATTTTAAATTTAAATATTTTCAAAAAAATAAAATTTCTAAAAGTAAAAAAAGTGGTAAAATTTTAAACGAATTTTTAAAAAGATTCCTTTTACAATAAATTAAACTAATTCTTTTAACCGCCGTCCGACGAACCCGAGAGTTTAATTCACAGTCTCCTCGAATTTTGATTCTAAAAATTTGTCATTCCAAAATGCAACAGGAAAGTGGTATAAATTATAAAAATAGACAGCAGAAAAATGTTCAAATTTTCAAAAAATAAAAAACTAAAAATAAAAACTTTTTTAATTTTAGAAATTTTTTTGAAATGTTTATGTAAAAGTTATGATATTTTTAAAGTCGGTAAAATTCTTCAGAAGCAAAAGAATTTTTCAAAAATATATTTTTCTCTAATATTTTTCAAAGATATGAATAAAATGTAGAAAATTTATTCGTTTTTTCTTAAAGTTTTTAGATGTTTACTGAAAAATAATGTATCTTAAAACATTAAAAATTAATTTAAATTATAATTCGAAAAAGTAACTTTTCTCTGTTTCGAAAAGTCAAAGTGATCCATTTTCGAATTTTTTATAAATTTCTTCGCAATAATTCAATTATTTTCATGAAGAATAACATTTTTTCCCAGGAATTCAATTATTTTCAAAAATAATAAAATTCTTCGCAAAAATTCAATTATTATGGTCAAAATTTTTTTTAAAATTCTCATCAAAATTTCAATTATCTTTATAAATAATAAAATTCTTGGCAAAATTTCAATTCTTTTCAAAAACTTTTCTCAATTCAATCAAATTTTTTAACAGAGATTCAATTATTTTTAATACAATTTTAATCTAGGTAATTTCTCGAAAAATGAAATTATTCTTAAAAATTTTATTAAAATTCATGAAAATCTAATAAACATTCATTTCAATATGAATTTCAGTTAAAATTTTAGATAATAATTGAATATTAAACTCTCTTTTGAATTAGTAAAAATGATAATACTAGAAATAAAAAAACTATTATCAAAAATTATAATCAAATTCTTTAAAACAATTCAATTATTTTCAATACCTAGTATTTTCATCAAATTTCGCAAAAGAATTCAATTATTTAAAAAATAATTGATAAAATTCATCCAAATTCAATTATTTTAATAAATAATAAAATTTTCACAGCAATTCAGTTAATTTAGAATAGAATTTCAAAAAAATTGCGAAAAAATCAATTAATTAACAAAATTTTTATATAATTCTTCACAATAATTCAATTACTTTCACTAATAATAACATTTTTCATGGAAATTCAATTTAAAAAAAAAAAATTTTGATAAAATTCTAAGCAAGAGTTCTGGAATACAATTTTAATTAAATTTCTTTTAAATTAGTTCAATTATTCTTTTAGATTTTAATAAAATTCTTCCCAAGAATTCAATTATTTACATAAATAATTCTTCGAAAGAATTCAATTATCAAAGATAAATAACAAAATTATTCCCGAAAATTCAATTATTTTGAGGAATTTTAATAAAATTCTTTGCAAAATTCAATTATTTTCATAAATAACAATATTCATCACAAGAATTCAATTATTTTTAAAAGTAATAAATTTCCTTTTGGAAATTCAATTATTTTAAAGAATTCTAATAAAATCGTTCGCAAGAATTCAATTATTTCCATAAACAATAAAATGCTTTTTAAAAATTCAATTATTTTCAAAAATAACAAAATTTTTCACAGAAATTCAATTATTTTCATAATAATTTTTTTGAAATTGTTTAATTTCAAAAAGGTTTGAATTTGAAAATCTTAATTTTTTATGGAAAAATAATAATGATTAAATATTTATTTAAAAAAGAAGCAATAGAACATTTTTGTGAGTAATAATTTGAGCAAACCTGAAGATAACTAGGAATATAAAATATGTTTTAAAAGAATAAAATAAAAATCATAAAAATAACTTGAAAATTACAAAAATGGAACAAAATTAAATTAATTTACCTTTAAACGAAAAGAAAAAGATTGGGGAATTTTAATTTTTTGGCAGTGTGATGATTTCTAGTTTAGGATCAACCCCGGACATAATTTTTCACCGTTTGTGGAATGTTGCCAAGAGAAGAACTAAGAGATATTTCTAGATATTTTCACGTCTTAGTTGAATCGCCTCTTTATTGAGAAGTGTCGTTCCACGGTGTAAAAGAGCGAAAACGAACCGTATTTTTCAAAAATTTTTTTTATTAAAAATAATAAATAAATATTATAAAGAAAATAATCGCGAGTCTTTCTTTTCCTCAATTTTTCCAACAAAAAAAATACTTGTTTCCCTCTTTTTAATAACTTGTTATCAAAACATTTTCTTCTTTTTTACGTAACTTTTGAAAATATCCCAATTTCTCTCGGTACCTACATTGTTATTCCATATTTAAAAAATCGTATCCTTTTATGTTTTTAATGAAAGTTTTAAATAATAGTTAAACTTTTAAAATCTTAAAAGTTGAAAAAAAAGAAAGTTTATATAAAAAAAATGTCGAAATAAATCGAAAATAATGAGCGATAGAAAAAGAATGACAAACCGGAAGCGTGTGGAGGAACTGCGAAGGATCAGAATGACGTCAGAGGAATTGAGAAATAGGTCGAGGTCAGGGGCAAACGATGACGTCATATCAAGTAACACCCTCCCGAGGGAATATGACATCAATGTTAAAATGTCGAAACTCATTGAAAAACGTAAAGTGTGCAATTTTTTTTTTTAATTCCATTCTTATTATTAAATAATTTTTTATAACTCATTTTTTTGTAGTAGCATAACGTAAAAAAAATTACAAAGGCAAATTAAAAATAATGAAAGATCTAAAAAATAACGATTTTTTAGATCTTTAATTATTTTTAGTTTTCCTTTGCTTTCTAAATTCAAAAGAAATCGATAAATTCTGTTAATTTTGAATACTTTTTATTATTCATTATTTTTGCTATTAAAAACTAGCCATGACTATAATTTTTTACTAAATTCTAACACTTGTGGGCATTGCTTGTGAAAACTGATTTAAAAAAATTGAATCTTAGAGGAATCGAACCCCAAACTCATTTCATTTAAGCGCTTAAAGACTACGGCTATCGCGAACTTTAAAATTTGTTGTTCAAGCTGTTAAAAAGCTGTAATTTTTTTTTGCAAATTATTGAGACTTTCAAATGTTCTTAATACTAAATATTAAAAGCTTGAAAATAATTAAATTCTTTAAATAGGTGCTTTGGATTATTAAAAAAAATTATCGCTAATTATTAACATTTTGCATAGTGTTTTGCTTTATTTTTTTATATAAATTATTTCTTATCTTTATTATTAATATTCTTATTGTTCAAGATTACTGTAATTAATATGATAATAACGATAATAATAATAATAAATTAAATCTATCTTAATTAAAAATTTCCTTTGATAACAATAATTCATAAATTTTTTGTGTATAGTATGACTAAGCTCTTTATATTCTAATTTACAAAACATGCAATGAAAGTGATAAAGCAAAGAATGTAAATAATTATATTTTGCGAGACAGTGGAGAAAAATCATAATTTCGAGTGATTGTGATATAAAAAAATTCTTTTTTAATTAACTTTATTCTGAATATCATTTGTAATCATGAATGTAGTTGAAAATTTTAGTTCACCATTTTTTATTAAAATTCAACAAAAAAATTAGTTTCTTTTAAATTGTAAAAAAATTCTTTAAAGAAATTCAATTATTTTCGTAAAATTTACATTACCATATTTTTAAAAAACTATGTCTTTATAATTGTTTCATTATTTTTTTAAATTCATTTTTACTAGATTTATTTTTGTTCGAAGATGATTATCTTCGATAATTTATTTATCAAAATAAATTAAAATTTTTAATTTTTTTTTAAATTTTTTTAATTTTAATAACTTTTATAAAAAAAGAACCATAAACAGTTACAATTACAATAATTATGGAAAATTGAATTTTTTTATTTAAATAATTGGAAGAAAAAATTAAAAATAATTGATTTGGAAATAAAGTTTAGTTAAAAATTAGCAAAAAATTCGCGCGCTAAGGAGCGCCGCTGACTTTTTACTTCATTTTTTAAAAATAAAATTAGCAATTTTAAAAATAGAATTTAAAAATTTTTAATTCAAATTTTTGTTGAAAACATTAAAAAAGACTGTTATTCAAATTTTGAAAAATTGAATTTAGAAATCAGTGAAAGGGGAAAAACAGTAGAATACAAAATAAAATTCTTATGACATTATGCATATTTCAAAAATAATTTTTGTATAATTTTTCCAATTAAATTTTCGAAATATGCAATTAAACAGATTTGGAATAATTGAAATTTTGTAAAATTTAATTGAAAATAATTGATTTTTTTCAAGTATTATTATTACAATTTTTGAAAATCAACTTTTGAAGAAATTTAATTGCAAATTTTGTGAAAATATGTCATTGAATTCTCAAAAAAATTTAATAAAAAAAACTAGCTTCTAAAAAATATTAAAAATTTTTTTTAAAAAAGTAATTCTGAAAATTATTTTTATTATAAATTTTTTAAATTCGATTATTTTCAATATTTTCAAAAATGTAATTCCGAAAATTGACTATAATAATAATAATTTAATTTTTAATAATAATTGACTAATAATACATAGGTACAAAAAATAATGCAAACATTAAAATTTTTCAGAATTATTTTTAACATTTTGGAGAAACCAATCATTGTGAAAATTTTTAATTAAAATTCTTCAAAAAATTATTTAGTTTTTTTTTTAAATTACAAAAAAATTCTTTTAAGAAATTCATTTATTACCGAAAAATTACATTAGAATATTTTTAAAAAAACTAATTCTTAGAATTGTTTTTATCATAATTTTTTGAGATTTACTTATCTTCGAACAAAGTAAATTAAATTTTTTTTAAATTTACCTCTAGATTCTCATTAAAATTTCGGAAAAATCATGTTTATATTCATAATTAAAATTCTTCAAAAATTTGATTATTTATTTTGTATTTATCAAAGATTCAATTATTTTTAAAAGATTTTGTCAAATTTCAATTATTTTTAAACAATTTTACCAAAATTCAATTGTTTTAAAAAGATTTTATCAAATTTCAATTAAACGATTTTACTAAAATTCAATTTTTTTTTTTTTTAGATTTTATGAAATTACAATTATTTTTAAAAGATTTTACTAAAATTAAATTGTTTGGAAATTTTTTAATTGTATATTATAATTGAAAGACTATTATCTTTAAAAAATTATTTACAAATATTTTTAAAGGTCTGGTTTTTGTTCTCTTTTGCTTGTAACTTAGTGAAAAATATTTTTTTTTACAGTCGGACAATTTCAACAAAATTTTAATTTTTTGTATTTGATAATTTTAGAATTTGTTGTTTTTATTTTCAAAGGAACAATTGAAAAAGTGTTTACCCAACGATTTTTTTGTATTCTATATCATCAGAATGATTTTGTTTCTGTAAACAGATTCTTGATTAATCAGCAATTAAAAGTTTCGAATACACAATTTGATATAATTGTTGATTAAGGTCAAGGTCTATTTCATCCGATAGTTTTTAAAATTAATTATTATTATTGAAATCATAATTAGTTGAATTTTTTTATGAAATCGATTAATAACGATCTGTTGTATTTTACGAAAGAAATTGGTAATTCTATTTTATATTGAAAAAAATTATTTTTTTTAGACCCTCTGGGGAAACGAGAGAGGATTGAACATGTTGACATAAACGATAAGGATGAGGTCGAAGAAACAGGTTGGCCAATTCAAATAATATTGGCACATCCGGATCATACCTTTGAATTGGACGAAGATGCGCTCACGAAAATTCTTCTTCAGGATGAAATCAAAGACAGGAGTGTTGTCGTTGTCTCAGTCGCTGGGGCATTCAGAAAAGGAAAGAGTTTTCTCCTCGACTTCTTTCTTCGTTACATGAACAGCAAGGTATAAAAATTTGTTCTTTAAAATTTATTCTATTTTATCAAAAACAAGAAAACTAAAAAGGAGTGTAGAATTTCAGCAAAAAGCAAAGAAGAAACTAACATTTCAAAACAACAAGTAAAAGAGAAACTTCTATGACAATTAACGATGTTAAAAAAAGATTGTTTGAATCAAAGCTTGTTAATTTTATGTCACACATTGAATGCGATAAAATGCATCAAAACCATTAATTTTCAAATTGATGAACCGTCGACTCAGTATCGAAATTAAAGTATGTCTCGGTTACTTTGTAATCAGTTTTCAAAAACCTACAAATTAGAGAACATAATATACAATTACTCTGAATTTCAATCACTGAAAAGTTTCAGCAGATTCAATTCTATCTCATGGCAAAGATAATTACAACACTCTGGTAAACGTGATTCAAGAAAAAAGTAAAAATAAAAATCCATTTTTAATTTAAGTGATTAACATTTATTTAATTTTTTTGATAACAATTATTTTTTCTAATAAATTTAATCAATAAAATAAAATTCATCACTAAAAAAAAAATTTGCTTCAAAAAGCGAAAGAAATCCTTCTTGAGTAAGAAATCAAGAATCAATCTGTGGTGTTTAAGATAGAATTCGTAAAAATAATTTATAGAGGGACATAAAAAAAATTATCCTTGAGCATAAAAGCATAAATTTAAAAAATGTTGCCTAGTGTTAATGTTCAGATTAAAAAAAATAATAATTGCAATTTTCAAAAGTACCTATTATTTAGTATAAATGCCGCATAATTTGATAACTCGAAGTATAATTTTGTATTTTCAAATATTTTATGTATAAAAAGTAGTCAATTTTTGGAAACAGCAAAAAAAAAAACTTCAATTCTTTTCATAAAATTTAGAGAAGTTACAAATGTTTACAGAAATTCAATTATGTTCTAAAAAAATTTTTAAATTCTTTTCAAAATTTCAATTATCTTGAAAAATAATAAAATTCTACTACAGAATTCAATTATTTGTATAAATAATAGAAATTTCACAAAAAAATTCAATTATTTACAAATTTTTTATAATTCAATTATTTTCAAAAGTAATCAAATTCTTCGCAGAAATTTAATTATGTTCAAAAATATTTTTAAATTTCGGAGAAGTATTTAAATACTTCTCCGAAATTCAATTATTTTCAAAAAGTTTAATAAAATTCTTGGCAAAACAATTATTTTCAAAAATTTTATTAAAATTCTTGTCAAAACAATTATTTTCAAAAAATTTCCTCAAATCAATGATTTTTACTATCTGCTATTTTAATACAATTTTCCAAAAGAATTCAATTATTTAAAAAAAAAAATTGAATAAAATTCTACGCAATCCTTTAATTATTTTCATCAAATAATAAAAATTCCACAGGAATTCAATTATTTATAAATTTTTTTATAAATTTCTTCGCAATCATTCAATTATTTTCATAAATAAAATTTTGACAAGGATTCTCGAAAAAAAAATTCTTGAAAATTTTATTAAAAATTGTGGAAAGAATTCAATTGTCTAAAAATTTATTGATAAAATTCTTTATGACAATTCAATTTTAAGAAACATGCAATTATTCAATAAATTGTTTTTTGTATTTAAATAATTGGATTCTAGTAGAATTTTCTAATAAAAATTGATTTAAAAATGGATTTCAGTAAAAATTTTAGATTATAATTAAATATGGTAATAATATTCTTAATATTGAATTTCAAATGGTTTAAATTTGAATTTTTTAAAAATCTTAATTCCTATCGAAAAATAATAATGATTAAATATTTATTTAAAAAAGAAGTTGTTGATGTTTTTGAATAATTTTACAATTAAAAAAATTCGTAAATAAATGTAATTGAAAATTTTTTCGAGTATCTAATAATTTTTAAAATCGGCTGAAAATTGATTTGTCCAAGAATTTTTTTGTTTTAAATATACGATTATCGAATTTTTAATTTAGATTTTTTTGAAATTTATGTGTACATTTTCTTTAATTTAAAAGAAAAATCTAAATTAAAAACTCAAAGTTGAAAGGAACTTTCAGAAAAATCACGAATTTCTATACAATTTCTATTTTTTTTTACAGTATGTGGAGTACGAAATAAAGAACGATGAATGGCTGGGCAATGAGAATGATCCATTGGGTGGATTTTCGTGGCGCGGTGGCTCTGAACGTGACACAACGGGAATATTAATGTGGTCAAAAGTATTTCTCAGTACATTGGAAAATGGTGAGAAAGTCGCGATACTTTTAATGGACACACAGGGCACATTTGACAGTCAATCAACTGTCAGAGATTGCGCAACTGTATTTGCACTAAGCACAATGGTATCATCGGTACAAATTTACAATCTTTCGCAAAATATACAAGAAGATGATCTTCAACATTTACAACTCTTCACTGAATATGGACGATTGGCATTAGAAAAATCAGGCAGCACACCATTTCAAAGGTTGCAATTTCTCGTTCGTGATTGGAGTTATCCTTATGAGGCCGATTATGGATCGGATGGTGGACAAGTAATATTAGAGAGGCGATTACAAATTTCTGACAAACAACATCCCGAATTACAAAGTCTAAGGAAACATATCACATCATGCTTCTCGGATATTTCCTGTTTTCTCATGCCACATCCAGGTGTGTAAACATAAATTTATTCAGGCTTGCCACAGGTCAGGGAAAAGTCAGGGATTTTTATTAACAGTAATGGAAAAAATTAAATGTTTCGAATTCTGAATTTCTGAAAAAACCTTAAATTTCTTCTATTTCTGACAATAATTTATTTTAAATAACTTAATTCTATTGAAGAACTGCCATAAAGTTATTACTTATAAATCATTTAATGAAATATTTTCTTTTTAATTTTAATTTCAATTCTGTTGAAACTAGTTTCAATTTTAAAAATTTTAACGCAATTCTTCAAAAGATTCAACTATTTTAATAAAATATTAAAATTCATTCCAGAAATTCAATTATTTTCTAAAAATAAAAAAGAAAATTCTCGTCAACATTTTAATTATCTTTATAAATAACAAACTTCTTCGACGAAATTCAATTATATTCAGGAATTTTAATACAATTAATTGTAAAATTAAATTTTTCTTTTCAAATATTTTCCATTTTAAAATTAATGTATTAAAAATCATCGAATTGTTGCAAAGAATTTCATCAAAAAATTTAATAATAATAGAATTCCTTCAAAGAATTTTATTATTTAGAAAAATAACTAAATTCTCGCAAAGAATTTTATTAAAATTTTTAAAAATCCTAATTAAATTCTTTTGAAGAATTTCTTTGAATTTTTTTAAAAACAAATGGAGTTTCTTCAATAATTTTAATTGAAAACTTTGAAAGCAATTGAATTTTTCCGAAGAATTTATTAAAATTTTAGATAGTAAATGAATTTTATGTTAATATTTGAAAAATTTAAATTCTTTCGAGGAATTCTCTTAAAATAGTTTTGAAAAAAATTGAATTTCTACAAAGGATTTTACTATTTATAAAAATAATTAAATTATTGCAAAGAATTTTACTATTTATAAAAATAATAAATTGAAATGTTTCGAAGAATTTATTAAAAATTTTAAGAAATAATTAAATTGTTATGAAGAATTTTATAGAAATATTTTAAAATAATGAAATTTTTTCGAGAAATTCAATTAAAGTTGTTTCGAAAATTGTTGAATTTCTTTAAAGAATTTTATTAAAATTAAAGAAATTCAAAATAATTGAATTCATCACAAGAATTTTATTATTTTTTTTTTTGAAAATAATTGAAATCTTTCAATTTTTTTGACGAATATATTTAAAAATTGCATTGAAAATAATTTTATTATATAGAATTTTTTAAAAATATTTTAAGAATAATTGAATTATTTTTAGAGAATTTTAAATTCCTGTTGAAATTGAATTTTATGGAAATTTATGAAAATAATTAAATTCTTTCGTGTAATTTTATTTAAATTGAATTAAAAATTATTTTGTGCTTAATAAGTGAATTTTTTCAATTTTGATTATGAAATTATTTAAAAAATTTATATTTGACAATAAAAAATTTTGCAATTTGCACAAAAATAATAAATTCTCAAGAATTCAATTATTTTCAGGAATTTTTAATAAAATTCATTGCAAAATTCAATTATTTTCATAAATAATAGTATTCATCACAAGAATTCAATTATTTTCAAATGTAATAAAATTCAATTATTTTGAAAAATTTTTCTTTTTCTAAAATAATGAAAATTTTACAGGAATTCAAATATTAAAAATAGAATGACATTAATACAATTTTAATCGAATTCTTCGAAAAATGTAATTATTCTTAAAAATGTTATTAAAATTCGTCGAAAGAATTCAATTATTTAAAAAAATTTTTGATAAAATTATGTATTAAGAATTAAATTTTAATTCAATTATTCAATAAATTATCTATGTTTGTATTTAAATAATAGAATTTATTTATCGTAGAATTTACTAATAAAAATTGATTTAAAAATTAATTTCAGTTAAAGTTTTAGATAATAATTGAATTAAAATTGCAATTTTTAGAAATAATTGAATTTTTGTAAAAGTTTCAAATTAAAATCTTTAAAAATTTGAAATTTTCATACTTTTAATTAAAAATTTTTTCGAGTGAATCAGAATATTCTTTAGGAACAGGGAAGAAGTCAAAATTTTGTCTGAAATCAGGGGAAAATAAAATAAAATTTTTGTGTCAATCCTGTTATTTTGAAACTTAAACTTATTTATATTCTGGAATTTCTAATTTACAGGTCTCAGTATCGCCACAAATCCAAAATTTGACGGTCGATTGTCCGACATTGAAGCGGAATTTAAGAAACAATTGAGAAATCTCGTGCCAATGCTTTTAGCGCCGGAAAATTTGGTGACGAAAAAAATAAACGGACAAGTTGTTAAGGCTAGAGAACTTGTCGAATATTTTAAAAGTTATATTAAAATTTATAAAGGAGACGAACTGCCCGAACCGAAAAGCATGCTTGTTGTGAGTTATTATTTTCCTGAAATAAGTTGTTTTAACGAATTGAAATTTTTAATATAAAAATTATTTCATAAATCATTTTTTTTTACAGGCAACTGCCGAGGCCAATAATTTATCGGCAGTAGCCGACGCTAAGGAATTGTATATGCAAATGATGGATACCGTTTGCGGTGGAACGAAACCCTTTTTGGCGACCGCACATATCGAATCTGAACATCAACGATGTGTGGACAGAGCTCTACATCAATTTCAAAATAAACGTAAAATGGGCGGCGAAGAATTTAGTCAAATGTATTTGGAGAAATTGATAAAAGTATGTAAACATTTTTCTCCTATTTTGAGACGGACCACAAAATTACGGACCAAAAATAAAAAACTGCGGACTAGTTGCTGACAAAAATATAACCAGTCCGAGTCAAAAAAGAGAAAATTTTACTTTAAACTATAAATCAAATTTATTATAACTATAAAACATGAAGATATCGATAACTCCGAGTCTTCGACTCGGAGTGATCTCTATCATCATGTTTTATAATAATTTAAACTTCCATAAAATTTTTCAAAAAAAAAATTAAATTATTTACAAAAATTTTTAATAAAATCCATCGAAATAATAAAATTTTTCCTGGTATTCAAAATTGTTTAGCCATATTTTCCTGAAATCTAATAAAATATGCTTTCTTTTTAGGATATGGACGAGGCTTTTCTTCAGTTCAAGGCGCATAATGAGAGTAAAAATATTTTCAAAGCAGCTAGAACACCAGCAGTGTTTTTTGCCATTGCTGTTACAATGTACATTTTCTCCGGTATTTTCGGACTTGTCGGTCTCAATACATTTTCCTACGCTTGTAATGTCACAATGGGCGTTGGATTATTGACTCTAGCCTTATGGGCATACATAAGGTTAGTTATTTTTGCAAATTTATTTTTTATTTATTTTCACTTAACTTATTTTTTCTTTTTTTTTGGTATTTATTTTTTCTTTTTATTATTATTTACCTTCATCTATTTTTTATTTATTATTATTTATTTACTACAACTATTTTTTTTAAATACAATTGTATTTTTTCAAATACAATTTTTTTTGCAATAAAAATAAAGAAAATAACAGTTATATTTTTATAATCGTTTTTATTATATTAACTTTTTGTGTTTATTGCCGAAAAATAGGTACAGCGGTGAATTCAGAGAAATTGGGACTAAAATAGACGAACTGGCGAATGCTCTTTGGGAAAATGTAAGTATTTTTTGCGATTTCTTTTTACATCTAAAGCTCGTCGTGTTAACGTCTACAAATTTACAGTAAACCTAGTATTTTTTTGGAAAAATTATTCAAAACCTAAACTGAAGTTTTTTTTGTAAATTTTTTTTTTGTTGGATTTAATTAACTTTTTTTGTTTTTTATGTCCAACAGGCCTGGCAATGCGCTCGTCTCGTTCACAAAATGAGATATTTGATTCTTTGTATTTTTCTGTCTCTATTTTTAATGCCCGCTTATACCTTCGCGTATTCTCAACTTCGTAAACATCGTCTCATCTGATCTCCACCCGTTTCATATTTTTTCTACTTTATCACCAATTCAGTTTAAACACCAATTTTTCTTATTTTTGTCGGGAAAAAATTACTTTTTATTTTAATATTTTCCTTTTGAATTATTTTTTTTTTTAAATTATTCAATTCGTATTTTTTTGTCGCTTTTTTTCAAAAATTAATGAACGATATTGAGTGCTTGAGGAATTATTATTGTCGATGAAAAAGGTATGAAACATTCCTCTGTCAGTAGTTTTATTTAAATTTCATTTCTGGATATAAAATAATAATAGAATAAATAATAAAGGTTAAATAAATGCAATAAGTATAAATTTAAAAAATAAATAAAATAAAATATAAAATTTTTGTCGAGTGTCGTATTTACCCCACGAAGTTGTGTAACTTTACCCCGCATATTTTTCTGAATATTTAACTTTTTTTATTATTAATAGAACATAATAGATATTAAAAAAAAAAAAATTAAAAAAAATTAAAAATTACTTTTTCAGATCATGAAGCCGCTTTATCAGCAATTTATGGAAAAATCAGTCACTGCAGCGGTTGCACGTAGTGCAGAATTGGCGACAAATTCGACGATTAATGCAACAATTGCATCGAATGGTAAAATGAAATTAACATAACGATCGATTAAACATTTTTTTTTTAGATTAATTCCAAGTTTACCACAAAAATGCAAACAAATTCCCTCATGCACGTTTGTATTTGAAAACATTAGTAAAATTATCAACTTGGAAATGTGAAAAATCCGAAAAGAAAGAAATAACATAAAAGCATTCGTATAACTATTTAAAAAAAAAAAATAATGAAATAAAAATTATCTTTTGTAAAAGTCAATGTGTAGAGTGTACATTAAAAATCTGGTTGTAAATCAGTGTTAGATTGTTAAAAAAAATCGCGGGTTATTTCTATTATATGGTCACTAATAATTTAATAATATATATATTGTCTTGTTATAAAAAAAAAGAAAAAGATTAATGAATCCGTATATATATATATTTAGTGTTTGATTTTTATTAAATTTTTAAAATTATGAAAAAAAGTTATACAAAATACATGAAAAGAAAAACCTTTTTTTTTTTTTTTTTTTTTTTGTCTTTTGCTCAAATTGAAAATTCCGATAAAGCCACTAATATCGTATTTTTGTTATGTATTTAATGTATATCTGTAATAATTTATGTGTAACCATCACAAGAGAAGTTTTCGTTATTATAATAAGTTTAGAAAAATATCGTCATTGTGTGCCAGAAACTTCTTACAATATATAGAGCAATTATTTCTATAATAAATGGACCAAGTTCCTTTTTTGGTTTTTTAAAAAATCTTATCAAAAAAAAAAAAAATTGTCTCACTCCCGAAAACAGTTTTTTTTTCTCCACAAAATAGTAAGAGAAAAAATTCTGAAATCGTGACTCAATTTTTTCTTTTAATAACCAAGAAACCGAACAAAATGGAATAATTTTTTTTAGACTTCAATTCTTGCCAATTTAGATATTCAAATGGAAAAAAAAGGAAAAGTTAACAATTTGTAAATAAATCAAATTTTCTACAATTTGTTTTTTCTCTAAATACATCTACACTCTAGAGAAGAGAATTTTTTTCTGCAGATTTCGACAATAAAAAAAAATAATAAAGACATAAAGAAAAGATTTTTTCGTTTTTATCAACAAAAAAAAAAAAATTAGACGAATTCTCAAGAGGGTAGATGATTTTTTCTTTCTAGAATATTAAGATACACTGGTGGCATATATTATAAACGTAGAAAATAAATAATTATAATAATAATAATAATGGAAAGCAACAAAAAAAAAATATTAACTATAAAGATGAAAGTGGGGTGAAGGTTTTATAACTTGTACTAATTGCGTGATTTTTTCCAAGATTTTTTTTTTCAAGCACTATTAAAATATTAAAGTGCCATGAAACAAGATTTTATTTATTATAAATCGTCACAGAATTTTTATATTATATATATACACATCTATAGATAAATAAAAAAAAACAAAAAGAGAATGAAAAATCATTTTATAATTGCATTTTCTTCTTTCTTATTGTTAAGAAAACTTTTTCTCAAAGTGTTTTAAATAAAAACTTTTAAAAAATTATGATAAAAAAAATGTTTACGAATTTATGAAATAAAAAAAATGAAACTGTGGTCACAATTCTGTATTTTTAAGATAGAAAAAAAAATTCATACGTCCAGAAATAAAAAAATTTGTTTCTTGTAAAATTCTTTCTTCCTTTTTTTTGAGTTGGAATGAATGCAACGCTCTCTATTCATCTGAGAAATTCTCGATGTGTTGATATTGTGGTGTAAGTGATCATGGGTGGAAATAAATGTGTATTTTTATATTTAACGAATAAAATGTCTTTTTATTCTTTGCCAATTCACTTGTAGCGCTTAAAATTTGACCATTTTCACGATTTTTTTTTTAAAAAGGCACTAAAACAAAATTTCGATAAAGAAGTTTTAAGAATGGACCATAATTTTTTCTGTCAACTAAAAAAAAAATTGTAAAAAAGTAGCTATCGAAAATTTAAAATTGACAACCAAAAAAACTCATTTTAGACACTTCACGAAACTGACAAAAATTCCATTCTATATTTTATTTTCCTGACTTTTTCATAATTTTCATCAAAAAATTTTACTTCTTTCTTATCCTGATAATAACTTGAATTCCTCCAACGAATTTTATTATTCATGAAAGAATTTAAATATTTATAAAAATAATATAATTCTTGCGAAGAATTTTGTAAAAAATTTTAAATAATTGATTTCTTTCGACTAATTTTATGCAGATTCTCATTTAAATACATGAATTTCTGAGAAATTTTTATTATTCATGAAAAAAATTGAATTCTTACGAACGATTTTATTGGAGTTTTTTAAAATAATAATTTAATTTTGCAAAGAATTTTTTTAAAATGCCTCAAAATAATTGAATTTTCGGGAATAATTTTGTTATTTATCGACATAATTGAATTCTTTCGAAAAATTATTTATGTAAATAATAATTGAATAATTGACAAGAATTTTATTACAATTTTCAAAAATAATTGAATTCTAGAGAAAAATTTTATTATTTATGAATATCTGTGAAAAATTTTGTTATTTTTGAAAATAATTGAATTCTTCATAAGAATTTTATAAACATTGTTTTAAATAATTAATTTTTTCGAAATTCTATAAAAAATATGAAAATTTTATTTTAAATAATTGAATTCTTGTGAAAAAATTTATTTGTCAAAATAATTGAATTTTTCGATTATAATTAATTTAAAATAGTATTAAAAATAATTTTGTCAACAATTTTTTTAAATTATTGTATTTCCCTGAAAAATGTTATTATTAGTGAAAGTAATTGAATTACTGTGAAGAATTATATAAAAATTTTGTTAAATAATTGATTTTTTTTTGAAAATGCTATTCTAAATTAATTGAATTTCTGTGAAAATTTTTTTATTTATTAAAAGAACTCGAATATTTTTTTAAAATAATTTAATCGTTTTAAAGAATTTAATTATAATTTTTGAGAATAGTTTTTTGATTTCTAGTTATTAGCAAATTATTTAAAGTAATGGAAATTCTCAAAAAGAAAAAAAACAGAAATAGTAGAAATAGAAAATAAATATAAACCGTTAGAATATTGAAAAAATTATTTTATTTTATACTATTTACATTTTCTTTTTTACAAACTATTAAATATCACTTTCTATTTTCTAAAAAAAGTAAAAAAAAGACTTATAATCACCAAAGAAGTATTTTTAAAATTCAAACATTCGTTTTACAATTTCCTCGTACTTTTTATTCTCAATTTGCGATTGTTGTTTATAAAAATTAAATTTCTCTTTCACCAGAGAATTATTGGGTTCAAGTGACAAAACCATTTTCAAATCCTCAACAGAATTTTCGTAATTTTGAAGATTACCGTAGGCAATTCCGCGTCTGTAAAGTGCCTTAACATTATTCACATCTCGATCGAGAACTTTATTGCACAATGTAATAACGTGCTCGTAGTTTTTCCTATGCACATGACATTCAGCCATATTATTATAAAGTAATGTTCGTAAATTTTCAATATCTTGCTTTAAATTTTCATTTAATTTCAAATCAATCATTGGCTCGAGTGTTATGAGAATTTTACATGCTTTACTAAATTTATGAAATGCATCAACATAATGTGTTTGTTGAAAAATTTTTATCCCCCTTTCCTTATATTTTAGGGCAATTTCATATTTTTCCTCGGGTGTCCATTGCCATATTGGTTTAAATGGTTGGAAATTAATAAGAGTTAATTCAAATTTAATATTTTGAATTTCATCGGTGGTCGCATTTTTCTCTGAATTAATTCTCACTGTAATGAGACTTTTCTCATTGATGAACATTGTTGAAATTGCGCGCTCAATTTGTCTATCGAGTTCCGTGCAGGCGTCACCTAAAATCCATTCTTTTTCATTTGTACCATAAATAATATCGCTGGGATATTTTAATGTTAATTCGTCAATTTTTAAATCTGATTCGTTAATGTTGTCGATTTTTAATTGACAAACTGCACGTTCTGTTGGTATGTCGGTGAAATCCTTCTTCGTCAGAATTTCTTTCGTCACAATTTTGTCCGCAGATTGCCATTTATCCATTGTTGAAAATTATGCACTGTAAAAATAACAAAAATATTTTTAAATGTTGAAAAGTGCAAATTAAAAATTTTGCCTTAATTTTTAACATTTATTATAATTTTTCTGCTTATAAAAAAATTTGTCTTCGTTTATTAGACTTATTAATTTCTGATAAGATAATTATTTATATTTTATATCTTTTTATTTTATTTTTTTGTTAAATTATTCTTTGTAATTATATTAATTTTGTATATTTTTTTATAGACTCCTTGAAGAGGAAATCATTTAGATTTCAAAACGTTGGAGTAAATATATTTTAGTCATTGCCCAAATGTTTTCGTTTTATTTACCTTGTTTTATAAAAAATCTTGGACGTTAAAGATTAACTAACTAATATTAACATATTATTCTTAATTGTTGATATTATAATTTTTAAATAAAATTTTACATTCCCCGGATATGTTAAAAATGAAACATAACCTAAAAACAACACTAAAATGTAATATTTGAAAAAATATATATTTATACTTACAATTTTTCTAGATTTAAAATTTTTACCAAGGGAACTAAATTTAATTTATTTGTATATTTAAATAAATAAAAAGTATTTATCCCTTGAATAAAACGATATATAAAATATAAAGAACAATATTTTTTATATTTTTGTAGGATTTGTAAAGAGGCCTGTAAACATTAGCGCCATTTTGAAAATTTTGACATTTCTCCTCTCTCTTCATTCATTCGATATAAAAAGGCCGTAAAGAAAATAGTCACGTGATATTCATTCAATAACTTTCAATTTATTTGAAAAATTACCATATCCGGGCATCGGCGAAATTATTATAGATTTAAAATAAATTATTTCAATTTCATGTAAATATTTAATATTAATTTTATACCAAATAGTACAGTATTTATTTTTCAAATGTAAAATTTGGGTATTTTAGTATTTATCTCGCACACGAAAAAATCAATACTTAGCACTCAAAAAATGTAAGTATATAGTAATTTTTCTTTTTTTTTAAATTACTATTTGTTATTTATCCATTTTTATTCTCTTCATCATTTCAAAATGATTAAATTTTAATTCAGTATCTTTAGTAAAATTTTATTTTATTTAGTAAAATATTTATTTTAAACTTAACATTGTCTCTTAATATTTCTATATATTTTTTTATCATGTAAAAATATACTTTTACATAATTATTATCAAGGAAATAACGAAAATTTATAAAGAATTATTTTTTAAATTTTGAGCAAATTTTTTTAAATATAATTTTTTTTATTTAAAATGGGAATATAGTTTCAAAAATCATTTCTATTAGTTATCCCGCATCTTTTTCTGAACCATATATGTACAGTACTACAGCTCACATCAATAGAGGTCCATTAATTATATTTAAGTATTTGTCCCCTCAGCCTTATTTCGATTCGAATCGTCAAAGTTGAGTGAAACAAAAATTGTCATCTCCTGTTTTCGGCATTTTTATCATTATTAAATTAAAAAAAAAAATGAATCAAGACGAAACATTTGAAAAACAATTGGAAGATTTAACAAGTTTTTTGGATTCTTATTGGATTTATGTGATTGGAATTGGAATTGGAATAATCACAGCTATAAGGTACAATTTTTTTTATTAAATTAATTAATCCATTAAGGTTTTGTTAATTTTTTATTTTGCTACTATTTATTATTACAATCTTGTTATTTGTTAATTACAATTTGTTACTATTTATTATTACAATTCTGTTATTGGTTAATTACAATTTGTTACTATTTATTATTACAATTCTGTTATTTCAGGCTTCGAAGTCTAGTAGCAGGTCAAAAAAAGTGTGAAAAAGTAGCATTTGGGAAGAAAAAAGTGTCCTCTAAATTGAAAAAAAGTAGCAAAAAGTAGCATATTAAAAATGAAGTAAAATTAGTTTTTTAAGTAAGAAAATTAAGTGAATATATGTTGTTGTCCAAAAAATTGAAAGAAAAAAATACTAAAAATAGGATTTCACAAAATTTTTTTTAAATTTTGATTTATAAACATAAAACATGAAAATATAATAGCTTTTTTGTCGATATTTTACATTGGAAAGTTTTATTTACATAATGAAATGTAATTGTTAATAATACTGAAATGAGATCTTTCATAAGAATTTGTTTTTTAATAACAGGCTCATAATTTTGAGAAGTTAAATTGACACCTTCTTTCTCCTTATTATTTTTTAAAAAACTATCAATAACTTTTTATCAGCCATCTAATTTTTAAAAATGAAACGTAAACATTTTTTAGTAATTTACTAATAACAGATATCAAAATGAAAAAAATGGATTGTTTTTAGTCATATAAATTTTTTAAATTTTAGAATCCACATAGCCATAATTTTGTACAATAATAAATTATGAGCAATTTAATTCCAATAAAAAAAATTATAATTTTTTTTCTAGATAGATCTTAAATCTTTATAAATGATTTTTTATTATTGAACAACCCACTTAAAACACTGTATTATTGAAAATACAATTAATATTTTTAAATTTGACATAAAGTTTGTAAACATAATATTATAATAAATAATCACGTTAAATAAATATTATTTTGGATTTTTAATCAAACAATTTATATAACCAAAAGAATTAAGTTTTCATTCTTAATTGATTTTTTCTATACTTGATGAAACTTTTATAAAGTCAAAAAAGGTATTACTATTATAAATTATATAGTGAAAAATGAAAAATTTAGTTTTTAATTTTTTTAAGAAGCTTAAAGAATAATAAAATTAGATACGAAAAATTCGAAACGTTAAAAATTTGTAATTTAATAAACATCCACTATTAGTAATTATTATAATATATTATAATCACCATAGAGATATTATAAATAGAGTGGGGAAGGTATAGGCGGCAGCGTGTGGGGGAAGTGTCCTGCCATAAACAGAATGGGTTGGAGGGAGAAAGAAGATTTAACACCAGTATCTGTCCTTCAAAGAGCTCCAGCGCAAGAGAGACACCTACTGGTGTTAAGTCTTCTTTCTCTTTCTATCAAGCGGACGCATACATGCAAACCATCCCCACTCTATTTATACTATCTCTATGATAATCACGCGTCCAATAATAAATTTAATTCATTTGGCGGGTTTTTTGAAATCTACGAAATTCACCAAAAAAACTAAAATTCTTGAATTCTGTAAATTTTTTTTACATTTTTTGGAAAAAAGTAGCATTTAGTAGCTTTTTGCCAAAATAAGTAGCAAAAAGTAGCTTTTTGACAAAATAAGTAGCAAAAAGTAGGCTTGACCAAAAAATGTGTCAAAAAAGTGGAAAAGTGTGTCACTTCGAAGCCTGTTATTTGTTAATTATAATTTGTTACTATTTATTATTACAATCTTGTTATTTGTTAATTATAATTTGTTATTATTTATTACAATTTTATTATTTGTTCATTTTTTATTTTGTTACTATTTATTATTACAATTCTGTTATTTTTGTTACTATTTATGATTACAATCTTGCTATTTGTTACTATTTTATATTACAATCTTGTTATTTGTTAATTATAATTTGTTATTATTTATTACAATTCTGTTATTTGTTTATTACAATTTGTTACTATTTATTATTACAATTCTGTTATTTGTTAATTACAATTTGTTACTATTTATTATTACAATCTTGTTATTTGTTAATTATAATATTATTATTTATTATTACAATTTTGTTATTTGTTAATTATTATTTGCTATAAAAATTTTGTTATTATTATAATTTATTGTTATTTGTTAATACAATTTTGATGTTATTTGTTAATTAATTATTTGTTAGTACAATTTTGTTAATTACAATTAAAAGTTACAATTTGTTATTATACAATTGAATTATTATTTCGAACAATTATAATCAAGAATATGTAAATAATAATTATTTTTTGTTATTTTGGAGTTTTTTTATGAACTATAAGGTTTTCTTATAGCATTTTCTTAATTTATTAATGTTGAATTGAATGTACTCGATTTCTGAATTTTTGCGCACTTCGCAACTTAACTTATCTTCGTTAAAGAAAAATAAAAAAATTTGTCATTTTTTCAAAACTTCTAATACACTCTGAAATTTTCGTTTTGGTCCCGGATCTACTTTAAAAGATATAAAGGTTTAAAGATTGAACACTTAATTATAATAATATAATAATTTATTTTATTTTTACATTATAATAATTTGGTAATAAAATTTTCGTTTTCAAATACAAATATAAAAAAAATTTTTTAATTGATAATTTTAAGATCATACATGGGTGGTTCAGAATGTCCGTCAAAGGAGAGAATAGATGGAAAAATTGTCATAATAACTGGAGCTTCGAGTGGAATTGGAAAAGAAACTGCATTGGAATTAGGAAAACGTGGAGGTCATATAATACTTGCAGTGAGAGACATTGAATCTGGAAATAAAGTTGCTGAAAAAATTCGTTCTTTTCCAAATGGACAGGCGGAAGTTAAATATATTGATCTCTCGTCATTAAAAAGCGTTCAAGAGTTCGTTAAAAATTTAGGTATTAGATTTTCGTTAATATTATTTTAATTTTTAAACAGAATTCATTTTACAAATATTTTATAGTAAAAAAAAAATTAAAAATTTTTCTTACAGAAACTGATAGAGTTGATATTTTAATAAACAATGCTGGAATTGCATTTCATCCTTTTGAAAAAAGCGAGGAGGGTTTTGAAATGCATTTCGTTACAAATTATCTCAGTGAGTAAATTTTTATCTTTTCCTAAAAAATGAAATTTTAAAAAAAATTAATTATATTAAATAAATAAGAGATTGAGAAAAAATACTAAAATAAAGTTTTTCGAAGGTCATTTTCTTTTAACGAAATTACTTTTGGAGAAATTGCAAAAATCTGATCAAGGAAGAGTGATTAATGTTTCCGCTCAAACCCACTCGACGCCTTCCATTGAACTTAACGATTTGAATCGAGAAAAAAATTTCACGTCCAGAGAAGCATACGCTCAAAGTAAATTGGCTCTTATTCTTATGTCTCGTCACATGAGTTCACTACTAAAAGGTAATTATAATTAAAAAATAAAATTTTTAAATATGAATCTTTTTTGCATTTTCTGAAATTTTAATAAGAATTAAATTAAAATTTCATTAAATCAAAATTATTGATATGATTTAATTATTATTTGTTTAAACAGCAATTGATAATTTTAATATTTAACCAATTTATTAATTGATAAATTTTGTAATTCTTTTCAAAAAAAATTAGATGAAACAAATATTACCATCAATTCCCTCGATCCGGGTTTCGTGAGGGGAACCAGACACATGAGACGATCCTTAATAGATTCTACATATATTCTTAAAGCAATAATTCAGCCGTTAGTGTGGTTGCTCTTAAAAAATCCCATTCAAGGAGCGCAGACTTCAATTTTCCTCTCGGTCTCTTCTGATTTGTCGGATCAAACTGGAAAATACTTCAGGTACTGAATTACTTTTCGTCAGAAAATAAAAATTAATACACCCATAAATTGGAGACATAAAAAAATAATAGATAAAATCCAATTTAGTAAAAAAAAACACACATATAATTAATAATAAGAAATAAAACTGAATTTTTAAACAGAAATATTATTTTCAGCGATTGTCAATTAAAGGAACCGGGAGAAAATGCGAAAAATGATAAACAAGCCAAAGGACTTTATGAAAAATCGTTAAAACTTGTGGAAAATTATACGCACACTTGACGGAAAAAATTGTAAATTAAACGAATAAAAATAAAGAAAAGAAAAGAAAAATAAATAAAAATGTAAAAATTGACAATTTTTGAAAAATGTAATCTTTACTTTAAACAAAAATATTCAACTAACAATAACAAATACTTTTATAAGTTAATTACAAAAACATTAACTGGTTTCTAATTTCGTCCATTTTTCACTCGTTAACCAAAGCCATTTTGATATTTTTTCATTCTCTGCTTCTTTCGATAAATCTGTCTTTCTCCCCTTACTGTAAGAAAAAATTTTCTTTATTAAATTAAACGAAAATTATTTTAATTTTACCCTTATTTACCACCGTTGAAAATGACAATTTTTTAAAAATAGTACATTGTACAACTAGTGGTGAAAGTGAGTGATTTTGCGAGAGGGAAGTTTGCACTCGAGTAAAATTATTCTTTCACCACGAGTTGTATACATAACGTTTTCCCTAACGCCTTGCGAGGAAATGCATGTTGGATGTTTTTATAATTGTAACTAACAATTTCATTTTTAATAACATTTTAGGTTGCTTTGGAAATTTTATATAAGTTAATAAATAGTAAACACAAAAATTTAGTTAGTTAGTTACTTAGTTTACTCAGTTATTTACTCAGTTTAGTTAATTTAGTTTGTTTGTAAGTTAATTTAGTTACTTAGTTCGTTAGTTTCTTTAGTTTGTTAGTTTCATTAGTTTAGTTAGTTAGTCAGTCAGTTAGTTAGTTAGTTAATTTAGTTAGTTAGTTTCTTTCGCTAGATAGTTTAGTTAATTTTGTTACTTAGTAAGTTAGTTAGTTAATTTAGTTACTTAGTTCGTTAGTTTCTTTAGTTAGTTAGTTTAGTTAGTTAATAAAATTTTATTCCGTCAAAAATAATATCAACATGGATTATTTTAATCTTTTAAAATAAAAATAACAATACATCGGTAAATACTACAGATTCTCCAGCAATTTACTTTCGCCACGGTTTTTCAAACAGTTGTGAAAAGTATCACTTTCGCCACGGTTTGTAACCCTTGAAAGTTGCAGTTTCAGAGCGGGTGTTAGCGAAAATTCTTTTTTATTTTTTAATACATAAAGGACTAGAATTTTTACCGAATTTTCCAAGAATTACTGTAGTGTAATTTTTTTTCTGTAAGAAGTGTAATTATTCTAGAAAAAATAAGTCTGGGTCTAAATGAATCATAAGTGGTAAACAAGCGTTAAATCAGGTAATATAATGTTAAAAAAAAAAATTTTATAAAAAAAGACAAACCTAAAGTAACAGCCAGTGACGTCTTTTAGTTCTTCACTGACTGCCGCCATCCAAACTGGAGTTGCTCCTTGTCGAGCAGACTGAATGAATATCCAAGTGAATGGTTTCACGAAAACTGAACTTATATAACTAGAATGATAACTCAAATGTCGATTAATTTCAGTGTCACTACTTCCTGGATAAACTGCATTCACTGTTACTCCAGTGCCTGAAAAGTATTTTTAAAATATTATAAATATTTAAACATTTAAATCCAGTTTTTCAGGGCACGAACTAGTGAAAGTATTTTAAAATACAGACTTTACGGACCAAAAATGAAAAATTAATAATTGAATTTTCGCAAAAAATTTTACTAAATTTATAAAAATAATTGAATTTTTCCGAAGAATATTATTTTGTTATAATGTACCTTTTAATTTTTTAGCCAATTCGAGGGTAAAAATAACATTGGCGAGTTTACTTTGTCTATAGGCCTCATCGGGATCATAATTTTTATCACTATTAAAATCATCAATTTTAATTTTTCCCCGACTATAAGCTGCACTTGTGACATTAATTATTCTCGATGGTGCCGATTCTATTAGTCTATCAATTAATAAATTTGTTAATAAAAAATGTCCAATATAATTAACACCCAATTGCATTTCAATTCCATCTTTTGTCTTTGCTTTTGGACAATTCATCACTGCAGCATTATTTATCAAAACATGTAAATCTTTGAATTCTGTAAAGAATATAGATTTTGTTTTATTAAAATTACACTGAAAAATTTTTTGCGGTTCGAATTATCTTTAAATTCTATACAATGAATTTGTATATTATAATTATTTTAAGTGTATACACTTAAAATGTATATAGAATTTAAAAATAAAAATTTTTAATACAGAGTTTCATAATATTAGCGAAAAAATATTTGTGTAGAGTTCAAACTGTATACAGTTAATATGTGCAGAATACGAACCACCCCAAAAATTATATCTTATTTATTTTTTTTTTTTTACCTTTTTTGAAACGTTTTACAAATTTTCGAATACTTTCTTGTGATGCTAAATCACAATGTCTGCAATAAATGTATTTATTCAATGTTTCAAGTGCAATTTCCTGTCTGACCTGAAAAGGAGAGAATTAGTTAAATATTTATTTTTAAAAATATAATAAAGAGAGAAAATTTAATTAATTGTCATTAATATCGGTATATTATATATATGTATATATATATAATATATATATAATTATATTATTATTATTAATAATATTAAAAATATATATATATATATATATATGTGACGCGATCTGAAGAAAGGGACCTTAGAAGCAAAAAATTATAGGTTATGTTTGCAATTTTTTAAATGAAAATACAAAAAAAGGATCAACTGTCAATATAAATCATTGATGTTTAAGTCTTCATTAAAACTAAAATATTTAATAAACACTGATTTTAATTCGAAATAAGTAAAAAGAAACTTTCAAACAAGAAAAAAGTAACTCTAACCCAACCTTAAAATGATTTGCTTCTAAGGTCCCTTTCTTCAGATCGCGTCACATATATATATATATATATATATATATATATATATATATATATATATATATATATATAATATTATTATTATTAATAATATTAAAAATTTACAGTTTCACATTTCTTCATATCTCGACAGGCCATAATAACTTTTGCCTCTCGTTTAGCCAGTGCTTTTGTTGTTTCCATACCAATTCCCGAATTTGCTCCAGTAACAATTACCACCTTGTTTGTTAATTTCTCCTCTCCGGTGAATCGATATTCATTTATTCGATCTCTAAAAATCAAATATTATTTTTATTTCTTTAATTATGAAGCATAGTAAAGTTCTATGAAATTTACATTTACTTTTAAACCTTACAAATATATAAAATCCACCAAAAAATTAATAGAAATCTTAGATAATTAAACAATTTTTGTACATTTTAAGCCATTTAGCAAATTATTATTTTTGTATTTATAGATCTACTTACTTTAAAAGATAAACTGCGCCTATAGCTGTTATAACTACACTCCCAACATAATACGGTCGTGGAATTTTCATTTTCACTTTTTACTTCAAAAGATTATTTTAATTAACAGCGAAATTATTTACAAAATTTATTTCTAATTCGATTAACCTTACAATACATGATTTTCAATTAACTTCTGTCATAATTTATGAAATATTTATTTTATACACAATACGAGATAAAATCCGGTATATCCATGTGTTTCTTTAATCTAACTTAACCTGAGCTAAAAAATAACTGTACCTATAACCTAACTTAACCTGACATAACCGCGCGTTATAACCGCCCTTGCCAAATGTCTACAATTAAATTACAACTATTATTGTCTATATTAGTCTTATTAATAGACATAATTAATATTTTTACATTCTTTTACCAATATAAATTATTTTTTCCCCTAATTTACAACGTTTTCATAAGGAAATATGAAAAATAACATTGCTATAAAATCTCAATGAAATCTTTGCACATTTCAGTTAATTATTAATTATTTATAGCTTTATTTGTAAAAGTCTTTGCATAATTTCATTCTCCAAATGTTCCTTTACAATTTCCAATCGTTATTTCTATCAAATTCTGTCGATTAACAGACTTATGACTTATGTGCCATTTACCTAATGTCTACTAGCCAGCTGGGTAGACCGAAGACCACGACCATTAACGACCACGAATTGCGTATAATGTACATTGATAGTAGAAATCTACCGTTATCGACAAAAAGGAAGTATGTGGGGGAATAATAACAGCGCTAAATTTAAATATGATAAAAATGTTTGACTTCCATAGTTTCCTATACATTAGATATTAGTTTATTAAATTTGTATCATATTCATTTTTTTAATTAATTTTTCCTGAAAATTAACTACATGGTATAAATACTATAGCCCTTTAATAATTCCAAAAGCCTAACACAGACTTTCTGTTTGTGTCGCGTGTGCATTCTAACCTTACCTTAAGTTTCGCTAAAAATTAAAATACGACCAATACGACATGAGTTGATTAGAGGCTTTAAAACAATTTTTTTGTTTTTAAATAATATTGATTTTACAAGCTGACGATTAATTGTGAATGTATACGGTGAAAATCAAAATAATTATAAAAAAATGTTTCGCAGGTTTGCCATTCTTTTAAGATTTAATCAACGACGAACAATTACTTCTGCCATCGCTGTTAAAGGTTACAAGGTGTGTAGGTGATTTAGCAAAAAAAAAAAATCAGGTTTACTTAAATTTTAAATATTAAGTATATTAATAATTTAATATGTAATTTGCGATATTTCTTGTATAGATTTACAGGTATTTAAAAAAAATTTTAATATAATTTCTTTAATAGACTAGAGTAAGTTCAAAGTCAAGATTTTTTCCCACATTTGGATCATTTTATGCATTGAGTTTATGGAAGGCTAAGAAAACTGAAGAAAATGAATCCTCAATAATGACGACTAAGGAACTTTTAATAGCAAAAGCTGATGCACTATTCGAACAAGAGGAATATAAGCAAATTTATGAATTGCTCAGTGGCTTCAAGGTATAAGTTTCTGTATAAAGAAAAAATATAATATATTATATTGTAAAATATATAATAGAATATAATAATATATTTATATTATATCTCATATAGAGTAATAAGAATGTCGAAATCTTATGGAGATTGAGTCGAGCTCTGTATAAAATGTCCCTCTCTGCAACTGAGGTTGAAGCAAAAAAAATGGTCTTCGAAGCATACGATACAATTTCATCAGCTCTTGAAATTGATGAAAATCATTGGGCAGCTCAAAAATGGATGGCAATTATTCTTGATGCAAAAAGCGGCTATGAGGGAATGAAATCTCGTATAAATCAATTGCACAATGTTAAGAAGCACATGCTAGTGAGTAAATTATTAAAAATTAAAAAATTTTCATCAAGACATCAAGGATTAAGTTTTAAAAACTTATAACTCATCCATGATGTCTTGATGAAATTTTTTTAATTTTTAAGAAATGGAAATTTCAAGTTTTTTTAATTACCAGAAATAAAGAAAACATGTTTCTCGTAAAAAAATTGAGCAAGAGATTTTTTTTGTTTGCATATAAATTTAAAAATTCAGTAATTATAAAATTAAAGCCCTTAAATTTCAAAATTGTTCAAAATTGTTATAATGTCTATATAATTATTCTTTTCTAGAAAGCAAGCGAACTGAATCCTGCAGATGCTACAACACTCTATTTAATTGGTAATTGGTGTTACCAAATCTCCAACTTAACCTGGTATCAGAGAAAAATAGCGTCAGCAATTTTTGGCAAACCACCAAGTTCAAGTTACGAGGAGGCTCTCACCTATTTTGAAAAAGCAGAAATTGTTGATCCAAATTTTTACAGTCAAAATCTCTTGATGCTCGGTAAAAGTTGTTTGAAACTAAATAAAAAGGAAGAAGCACTCAAGTATTTGAAATTAGCTTCTGAATTTTTAGCAAAAAATGATGAGGATCAACAAGCAAAGCAGGAAGCACAAAAATTATTGAACAGTATTTCGCCGTAAATACATTTATTTATTTAAAAAATTTTTATATCTTTCGATAATCATAAAAATCGATGACTAATTTTTATTGGTGCGTTTATAATTGTTATTTTTGTATGTATATAGAATTTATTTTTTATAAACTATTTGTAATAGTAAAATAATATTCGCGTCTTTTTTGAATAATTTTAACCCTTTTTAAAAATTGTATCCCTTTCCTTATGACCTTATAAAATTACCTTAATTTATTCGATCACTATACATTTCTATAATTTCTGCAATCTTAGTGTGAAATCTTACGTAATTTTTCTATGAAATATTAAGGTATATTTTACATTATAAACTACTTGCGATAGGCGGGGGGGGGGGGGAATTTTGTGGCTTACGTTATAAATATAGTCACAGTTATTATTCAAGTGATTTTCTTCAAGGGAAAGTAAAATTATTTCTATATAGTATATGAAAATAAAAGTAGGACACTGCCAATTCTTGTTCCTCATTTTTTTTTTTTTTTTTTGTATTGTGATGAAACTAATAATAATGTATATAATAATATAGTACTCCAACTTGACTGTAAGCAAACGCACCCTAATAACATCTATATCATTACATGATCATTTCCTGTAATATTGAAATCATTTCAGAATTGTTGGAGAAATTATTTAGTAACACTGTCATATATAATGGTCACTTTACAATGATCATTATATATGATAGAAAAAAATATTACCCACAAATCTCAAATTTTTATATTTCTGTAATGATTTTTAAAATTTTCAAGTGATTTAAGGCTAAAGGCTATACAAATTTAAGACGTAAGACTTTTAAAACGTAAGGTTCAAGACTTATGATTTGAAACGTATACACCTTTTATGTCTTTTAAGTCAGAATTAGTATTGAAGAATTAAACCACAAAACTTGAAATTTTAAATGCGAAATTAAAAAAATACTTTAAAGTTGACAAGCAAAATTTAAGATTTATAACTTTATATGTAAGATAAAACTATTATAGAAAAATATAAGTTTTTATATGAATTGAGGCCTTGGATCCAATAACTCGCCCGACGCTCGAAGCCACGCGCTAATACCAGTCGGGTAGCAGTGAGTGGCCCAGAGGCGCTCACTGCTCACTGACTGGCAGTTGCGCGTTCCTCCGAGCGTCGGGCGAGTTATTGGATCCAAGGCCTCAATTTTAAAAGAATTTAGAAGAAAACTTAAGACTAGAAATGAGACTTAAAACTTTAATAATCGTATATAAAAACTTATTATTATAATTATTAATATTATTATTATTCAAAAATAAAAAAAATAAAATAAAAACTAACATTAGAAATGACTTAAAATTTAATATATGCGTATGTCTTAAGAATAAGACATAAGATTCAAGAATAAAAGCAATAAAGTTTATAAGTTTTAGGTTCTTAAGCTAAAACGGCTAAAACCTAAAGCATAATAAATAAGTTTTAAATAAACATGTGACCTAACAAAAATCAAGGATATTAATTATATTATCAGAGATAAATTACTAAATTACTATTTTATTATTGAAAGTATTTTATTATATTAATTAATTAAAAATGTAAAATAATTATTCTTTAAAATAAAAATAATAATTTTAATAACAATAAATTTTATAATTATATTACTTCAAATATTAATAAAATTATTTCATATTACAATATTATGTTATTTTTAAACAATAATTTTTATAATAATAATAATGATTATGATTATTATTATTATAATTATAATTGTAATTGTTATTATTATTATTGTTATTTTAAAAACAAAAAAAAATAATTTTGTTGCAACATAAAAATTAGTTGTTGTTTTTTTTTGTGAAAATGAAAATTTTCTCTTTAAAATTTTTCCACTCGATCTGTGCTAATTGCATCTCTTTGTAACAACAATTTTTTATATTCTTATTCTTTCACCGGTCGCCACACCGGTAATGTCCTTCGACTTGAGTAAATCAGTAAACGATAGATTCTCGATGTGTCAAGACGTTCAAAAAGAAGAAAACAAAATTTTCTCAATGATTATTTATCAAAACTAAATTTTTCATTTTTTTTTTGCACATTTCAAAAAAAAAAAAATTATTTATTGTGTTGTGAAAAAGAATTTTTGTGCTATAGAAAAAAAATAGAAAATTATATTAGAATAAAAATTTGTGCGTTCAGTGTAATTGAGAGATGTTGGTGAACATTATTTTTTTGTAGCAAGTATTTTAAGGTGATGATTGTCTATATATATATATATACAATTTTTTATACTTATAGAGATCAAATTCTTTGTTTTTTTAATATTTTTTTTATTATAATATAGCATATATAAAGTAGTATTTATTTATTCTTTTATTCATTAAATCTATTCAGTAAAACTAAAATCAATGTTTAAAAAATATATTTATTTATTTCCATATTTAAAATTATTAAACAATAAACTAAAATTTTTCCTTCTTCTTTTATTATTTTTTTTATTGACAAATATATACCAGGCTTAAAAATTAGTGCAAATAAAATAATGAAATAAAATGGATTAAAAATTTTAAAAAAATGAATTGACAAATAAATAAAAGAAAAATTTACAAATAAAAATAAATATTAAAAAAGATAAAAAATTTAAATAATAACTTATTATTTTTTAAGAAGAAATTTATAAAATATTGCATTTAAAATTTTTTTTTTATATAAACGGGACAAGCCTTTTCTTTATAAAAAATTATTAATATATATATATTTTATATAATTATAATATATATATATATTTAAATAATAATAATAATATAATAATAATTTATATAATTATAAGAAAGAACAATTTTTATATCAAATTTGCATAATTAAGCAATGATGAAATAAAAAATGTGAACTGTTTATTTTTATCGTCCACTATAGCTTCGAGCTTATTCTTGAGGAAATGAATATATAAAATAAACATTGCGAATATAATTAATAAGATCACTTTGGCATTTGATTTAGCTTTTTATCACTTTTGGAATGTTGTTGTTACACTCATCCGACATGAATTTTTTTTTATTTTCTCTTTTATACCTTTATTCAACAGTATTAAATATTTTCATAATTTAAATTTTCTTATAATTTAATTAAAAAAAAATTTTTCTTTCTCAATAAATAAAATTTTGAACGGAATAAATGAGAAAATATATATAATATATTAAATATTTAATATTAAATAATTGACTACTGTAAATATTAAGAAAAAGTTTCTAAATTATCTATATTTTAAAATTAAAAATTTATTTTTCTTTATTTCATACATATTTAACTCAATTTTTAAAAATTATTTATTTCATTTTTTAAAAATTGTTTACTTAATTATATTAGTATTTTATTTCATTAAATTTAATTTAGTTCACTATTTTACTTAATAATTATTTGTTTAATTATTTATTTTGCATTTAATTTTATTGTATAGGTAGTTAATAATAATTTTTATAACTATAATTTTATAATTGTTTGAAAGTTTAAATTTCTATGACAATTATTTACTTTATTTATTTATTTTCTTGCTTTTGGGATTTTAAAAATAATTTTAGTTTTTGAAAATGCAATACTATATTTGAAAATTTAGATAAACGTAAATTTTCCGTTTCTTCTTCTATTTTATAGGTGTGAGAGGAAAGTTTGTTATAAACATTAAAAATGTCTTGCGAAAATGTTCTGAAGAGTTGCTTCTTTGATATTTCGACATAATCAACATTATAATCAACATCATTATTATCCTCATCATAATCATACGAAAACGATTCCACGAAGAATGAATTTTCAAGTCCTTGTCACGTGCACCATTGTAAGTTGCTAATTTTAAAATTTTCTTCTTTATGTACTCTACAATTTTTGCAGATTACATATTATTAGATACAAATATTTTTTTATCTAAATTTGACTCTTATTATTTGTATAATAATTGTTTTTTAAAAACAATAATTGTAAATAATTATAAACTAATAAATATATTTTTTATAAGTATATTATATACTATAAATATTATAAAATAATTATAAATATAACAATACTTATTTGTAATAATAATATTATTATTATTTTTATTTTTATTATTATGCTAGTATTATTATTGGTATTAAATATTATTGTTTAAAAACTTTTTAACAAATTTATTCGCTCAAATCGAAACTGTAATTTTTAAAGTCTAATGTGATCTTACGTCCGGAAGTAGGTATGAGGCATCAATTTCCGGTCTCCATCTATCCCAAGTAGATAATTCGCCCTTCATACTTTGCTCACTTTAAATTCTCTAAATTTGAATTAGTAAAAATGTTTACTAATTTGAACTAGTGATTGACTTATTTCTACTTTGGAATTATTAGTAAATTTTATTAATAAATTAGTAAAAATTACTATTTATTAGTAAAATTTACTAATTCAAAAATTTAGAGGCAAATTATGCACCTTACAGTAATATTACATTTAATTTACTTTTCTTCTTTTACAAAAAAAATTATTTATAAATAAATATATGTATTATATTAATAAATTTATATTTTTAAAAAGTAGAAAACTTTTATTACACATTTTTATGATTTTATAAGGCCTTATTATAATATAATTACATATAATTATAAGTTTTTAGTAAAAGAAATCCATTTTCTGACTCTATAAACTATGTATGTATAATGGACATACAATATATACTAAGAAAATATAAAGTTCGTTGTCCGAGTAATTTTTGCATAACAAGTGCCAATACACATTGCAAATATTCTCGTGTTCGTCGTGTCTTATCTCTATATAAGAATTTCAAAGCGGTCGAGATCCTTTTATCTTTACCGACTTAAAAAAATTGTTTAGAAATAGTTTTTTTTAAATTTTCTTTTAATAGAAATTTTTTATTTTTTTTTTCTAATAAAAAAATTGTAATATTATTGTTTATTTATTATTCATTGCGATCCGATTTGTTTTTTGTTATTTATTAATCAAAAACAAAAACTAGTTTTTCCCATTTTTTTAACTTAAAATTTGTTACGAATTTGACGAATTTCAAGAATTTGGAATTTTGAACAAAACTTGTTGAAAATTTTCTACACTTTTGTTGATTTTCAAGATTTTGAAATTTTTCTAATAGAAAGCAAAACTAAAATATTGATTAATTTATAATTTTTGAAACTTGGGTAAAGCAAATAAAAACTGGCTTTTTTGGATAAAAATATTTATGTTATAAAATTTGTTAAAAATTTTAAAAATTTTGAAGTCATGAGTTTGTAAAACTATAAACAAAAACAGATTTTTAGCGTATAATTAAAAGTTATAAAAATTTATGAATTTTAAGATTTTGAAATTTTTTAATTTAAAAAAAAGAAAAAATTCCATTTTAAAATTTTCTAAAAATTATGATAGATCATCAAAGACTAGTTCTTCCCCTTTATTTAATTTAAAATTTGTTATATAAATTGTCGAATTTTAAGATATATTACAATTTTCCAATATAAAAAAAATGATCTCTTTTCAAATTCTGATAAACCAACAAAAACTGTTGAAAATTGGATACTTTTTGTTGAATTTCAAGATTTTGAAAATTTTCAATGGAAAACAAAACTAAAAAATTTCCTAATTTATAAAATTTAAAAAAATTAAGAAAAAAAGACAACAAAATCTAGTGTTTTACAGTTTCTTGAGTTAAAATTAGTTATAAAAAATATCAAATTTTAATATTTTGAAATTTTTCTGTGAAAAAAAATTTTTTGTATTAAAATTTTTAAAAAACCATCAAAAACTGATTTTTTAATATCGTCTCACTTGAAAATTGTCGAATTTTGTCTAACTTTGAAGATTCCCGGTCCCCTCGAATTAATTTTTCCAAAAATATTTCTCATGAATATTAAGTTCCAAAATAAAACAAGTATAAGGCATGATTAACAAGAATGGATGTAAAGAAAGATTTTCGAATTAAAAAATTAAAAAACTGAAAACACAATTTTTTTTTAATTTAAGAAATTTTTTTGATAAATTGCAGTAACTTGCGATAAGCTTACTGCAATCTTGCGCTGCAAGCTTGGCAAGATTTCTGTCCAAACTAAGAAAATTCCAAAGAAATTATGAAATTCGAATATTTTTGAAATATTGAGGCAAAATGTACTTGAGATAAAAAAAAATTTGTTCAAATAAAGAAAAAAATATAAATAAATAAAAAAAAATAAAAAAAAGTTCACTAAATTGTTTTAGATATTTGCATATACCTCATCAGGAGCTGTGCTGGAAAAAAAATTGTCTGCAGTGAATGTTAAACCAATCGAAGAGGATAATGATTATGCTAAAGTTTTGGAACTCTCCTTTCTATTTTACGAGGCTCAGCGCTCGGGAAAATTACCATCTGATAATAGAATTCCTTGGAGAGGGGATTCTGCTCTAAATGATAGTGGTGTTGATGGAGAAGATCTCACAGGAGGCTATTATGATGGTTTTTGAAAATTAATTACAAGAATAGTATATTTTTAAGATAAATGAAAAATGTTCCAAAAAAAAAAAAAATTGAAACATGTTTCTTTTTTTTGCAGCTGGTGATTTTGTAAAATTTGGTTTCACAATGGCTTGGACGACAACTCTTTTAGCTTGGGGTGGTATCAGTTGGCCCGAAGCTTATTCAGCAGCTGGTCAATTGGATGAATTGCGTAAGGCTGTTAAATGGTCAACTGATTACTTCATCAAGTGTCACGTTAATGAAACAACATTTTATGGACAAGTTGGTGATTTTACTCTTGATCATAAATTTTGGGGAAGACCCGAAGATTTAAATACATCCAGACCTGCTTTCAAAATTGACACTGAACATCCAGGTACTATTGAAAAAATTCCCTAGGCAGTGGAAACAATACTTTCTTCTCTGGTTCTGCTGTCTTAAAATCTCTTAATTCTTAAAGAATTTCAATCTTCTTGGGTAATTTTAGTTCTTTTGAAGAAATTAATTTATTGCTCTACAGGTTCTGATTTAGCTGGAGAGACTGCTGCTGCTCTAGCAGCTTCTTCACTTCTTTTTAAAGTCACAAATCCAGAATACAGTGAGGAATTGCTTCGACATGCCCAAGAACTTTATCAATTTGCTACCGATTATCGAGGACTTTATCATCAATCTATAAAAGATGGGACACAATATTATGAGAGTACGGATTATGGTGATGAATTAGCGTGGGCTGCTGCTTGGCTTTATAAAGCAACAAAGACGACAAATTATCTCGACGAGGCTGAATATCATTATCAACATTTTTATCTCAATGAAAGAGCAAATTCCTTTTTTTACAATAAAAAATCAGCTGGTGTTCAGGTTCGTACTCAAGAATTTAAGATTAAAAATTTTGCTACGTGTTTGAAAATAAATTATTTCTTATAGATTCTTTTGGCACAATTAACAGGACGTGATGTTTATAAAAATTCTTCAAATGACTTTTGTCACTTCTTTATGAAACAACAGAAACGAACACCAAAGGGTCTTATTTATATTGAAAAAATGGGAACTCTCTGTCATGCGGCGAATGTTGCTTTTGCCTGTCTACAGGCAGCGGATTTAGGAGAAATTCAACATTCACAGGAGTATAGGGATTTTGCCAAGGAGCAGATCTCTTATATGCTTGGTAGTGCAGGTGAGAAATTTTTCTTGTTTTAGAAAAAATTTCTTGCAGCAGACCGTAGACTATTTGTGAATGGGATCAGAAAGCGAAGGTTTATTAGAAACTCTCCATCTTGTTTCCAAAATTTAAGAAAAGAAAGGTTTTGACTCAATAAAAATCTTTTTTTAAGTTTGTACATGGATAGTTACAAAAATGAAATTTTTCTTTCAGGAAGGAGTTATGTAGTCGGTTGGGGTAATAATCCACCAACCCAACCAAATCACGCAGCATCTTCTTGTCCTGATAAACCAGCGTCTTGTGATTGGTCGGACTTAGATCGAAAGTCAGCAAATCCACAAATACTGTATGGTGCCTTGGTTTCAGGACCTGATGAGAGGGATAAATTTGATGACAATCGTCAAGACTACATTTACACTGACGTCACTTTAGATTGTAATGCTGGATTCACTGGGACCCTTGCCGGTTTACTTCAACTTCGAGTTAAAGCAACTTCTTGACATGTTACAATAACATTTTTATGCACTGATTTTTTACTGTTTGTCGACTCAATTTATTGCACATATTAATGCGTATATTTTTATTCACAAGGGGCCAGGTATTTTAATATCTTTTTTTATTTTTTTACAACAGTTTATGCCTGAAAAATACTTGAAAAAAAACGTAAAGTAAAATTACGATGGGCAGAGTGGGGCAACGATAAACCTTAGGCTTCGCTTTGTTATTTTTTGTAAACGTGATCAATAATAAAATTCTTACTTTTACCCTCTGGGCACCTTTGTTCTAAAAAAGTTCCTAAGACGTTTCTAGAACGTTTCATGTCCTCCACATAAAGTCTTAAAAACGTTTTATGTTCTAAAAACGTTTTTAGAACATTGGACGTTTTTAAGCCGTTATGTAGTGGACATGAAACTTTCTAAAAGCGTTTTAGGAACGTTTCTAAAACAAAGATGTTTCCGTGCCCAGAGGGTAGTTTTTAAAAATAACCTGTACAGAATATTTTTAAAAATGTACATTTTTTAAGCTTTTATAGCACCACACACACACATTAAGTTACTATTATTTTAAATGTTTTTTTATAGATAAAATATGTGATAGTAAAATTAATTTTTAATAATAATAATATTTCAATTGAAACAACGTAACAATGCAAAGAGAATTCAAAGTCTATACATTATCGTTACTTTAAAAAACAAGAGAAAATAAATTTCGAAATTTTTTCTGAAAACAGTATTTTTAAGTACCAAAGATCTAAATTATATTTAAAAAAGTTAAATATAACTTCACTAAATGAATTTTGTCCACTAATATGTTAAATATAACAATTTTTTATCGCAGAAATGAGGGAGATCGATTTTTTATTTGTAAATTTAATTCTTAATTAAATAAATTTTTTGTACGAAGAAGTATTATTTTTTTCGTTCACCTATATTTCTTCGTTAGATCGAATTTAGTTTTAAAATATTTTTTCGTTATAAGTCAAATTTAGTTTTAAAAAATTATCCTTTTTCTCATATATTTTTTTTACAAAAATTAATTTTAATTGAAAAATGATCTACTTTTGTATATATACGCCTATTTATCATGATGAAAAAATGTAAAATTTCAATGAGTAAAAGAAGGAAATTAAAAATTCAAACGAAAGTCGACGCTTATGGAAGAATACATCTTATTAGATTACAACGAATTGTTTGAAAAATTAACTTCCTTTGTTTCATCTCTGATTACGACGATAAACGAAAGCATTAATCAATGTCTTTAGTCGAATAACTGAATCTATTTCGTTTCCTTGTGTCAATCACATTATGAATTGGAAATTTAGATGTAAAAATTTTGTTAAAATATTCTTTTTATTTACACTTACAATAATTTCTTCACATCAAGAAACTTCTGGTAATTGAAATTTTTCTATTCTTACAAATTAACTATAAAAAAAAATAATTGATAGTTATAAGTTACGCATAGTTATAGAATAATTGATAATTATTCTAAAGACTTAAATGTGTATATAAAGTATTTATATAAATTAATAATAAATTTAGAAATTTTAAAAGTGGCAACAACTTGTAAATCCGTTCGATGCAACAAAGGATATTATTGTCTCGTTAAAGTTCATAATTGCAGCTGGGGAGAAAGTAAGCGAGTGATAATTTTTGAAATAACAAAAAAGTTTTTCATTCATTAATAAGTCTGCGAGCAAATTTTTTTTATTAAATTTTCGATTATTTTCACAGATTGTGTGCAGAAGATAGCAAAGTGTGTGACTGAGAAAGAATATTATGAAGCCACGGCTTCTTGTGTCGATTTTCAGTGTCCTGATGGACATAAATGCATCCTTAGAGAGTCTTTATGTACCAGACCGCCCTGCAAAGTGTTGAAAAGCTGTGCCCGAAATACTGGTATTGATAATTATGATTTAATTTTTTTTTAATAATGTTACGTCGAAACTGAAAGCTCTTTAAATTATCTGTTTTCTCGTTTTAAATTAGCTTTAGGTTTAGTTTTATTAATATTATCATTATTATTATCTTGGTTGCTGATTAACAACAGTATAACGAACTTGATTCCTTAATTATTATTATTAATTATTAATTGACATTATAATTATTAATTATTAATTAATATTATTAAAAATACGTTACGATGACGCGATATCATAAATTATTATAATTAATTTAACAATCACAATTTAGAAAGAGTTACTTTCAGCTGCTGAGAATTGGTTCAAGAAATGTAAACAATTGGGCTGCACTTCTGAATATGAATGTTTCATCAGAAGACCGGTTGACAAATGCGACAATAAAAGTTGCAAACATATTCCTGATTGCATGCTATCTTCTGGTATGAACTTTAATTAATTTAAATTTATCATAAACAATATAAAAAAATTAAGGGAGCGGTTGGTGACTTGCACCGTTCACTATATGAATTATCTGATATTAAAGGACAAATAATATAAATCATAAAAAAGAAGTAGAGAAAATGAAATAAAAATTATTATATTTTTTAAAAATTCTGTTTTTTAATTGTTCGCTAACTTTTAAAATTGTTTATATATTTTGTTTTTAAAAATAGAACTTTGACAAACTGACTGTCGATTTTATCTCTTTCGCTATTGAGCAAAAATGAAATAATTTCAGGAAAAAGATACTTTTTTAAATCTTTTTTTTTAATTCTTTTGCATTCATTTACATAATTTGTTCATAACATTTGCAATTTAAATTAAATATTTACTTTTCTCATTTTTTTATATAATTCAGAATTTTACTATACAAACGATAATTTTTGTAAAACAATGTAGTTTTTTTCCAAGAAATTTTAAATTGTAAAATTGTTTATGTTAATTGTTTATCAAAAATAAATTATTGTCTAAAGATTTAATCAGTAACTCTGCTTTCTAAGATTTCAATTAAATTGTCAGTTATATTGAAAAAGTTACAACCCAAAGTCTAAAACCTATAATATAATGGACAATTTAAGATATTAATAAAGATATTAACATTGAAATTAAATAATTTTCCTTAAAAAAATGTTTATTTATAGGATTGATTGACTAGTAATCGAAAATATCAGTAAAATTACTGCTTATAAAAAACAAGTTTAATTACAGAGAATGAGCTTAACAAACATTGCAGAGGTTGGATTTGTCCATTAAAAACGGAATGTTTGGCACATATAATGGGACCATGTCAGAGCAATGATTGTCAGATTTTTCGAACATGTCGATCAACAGTGGTCAGTAAATGAACCTAATGTGTTTGCCATTAATAATTTTTAATTTTTAAAAATTATTATATATCTAAAATTTTAAAATAAACGTCAATTTTCTGTCTATAAAAAGAGAGTGTTTAAAATCATTATTTGTGATATGTTTAGCCATTAAAGTCAAGACTTAAAACATTACCTGACATTGAAAGAGAATGGTTTTATCAAGAAGAAGAAAAGTGGAGAAAACAGACATTGTTAACGACACCCATGTCAATTTTAGATAAAGTATAATATTAATAATTAATAATGAAGCTAACAATCCTCCAAAATAATATTCACAATTTTAAACATTCATAAAAAAATATTAAATTGCAAGAAAAATTTCATATTAATTGTTATTTTCAGATACCCAGTTATGACAAAACAAAACTATTTTTTAAACCAATCAACGCTATTTCAAGGTACAAAGTGAATTTGATATAAAATAAAATATTTTTACATATAAGGATTATGAAACACCACCAGTTGTAATGCTGAAAAAATGCCTTTTTAAAGAATTTTTTCTAACAAACCTTTTAAAAATATTATTTATTACCTACCTAAACGTACGTGCTTTAGTTAAACATTTTTTTTTTTATCAAAAACTTTATGAGTAATGAGCCATTGTCAGGTGACGCCTTCGTAAGAAACATGAAGTCCAGTGAACAACATTCCGTAACTATAGTTCGTCTGAAAATGAAATTAATTTACATTTATTATGAGATTATCTAATTTTCAATTAGAGGATTCCACCACCTTTTAAACTATGTTTATAATTATTGTTAAATAAATTTAGGCAATTGAGTTATATTGTTGTAAATAACTATGCAGAAGAAAAACACGTTTGCTGAAAATAGTAAATTGATTGATCTACAATTAAAATAGTTTTAAACATTTAAATAAAATATAGTCAGGGTTGTCCAGATTAAAAAAAAATGTAATGGCACAAAAAGTACAGTATAAAGTATCATTTCTGTATATATCGAAAGTTACAACTGGTGTGGGTACACCACCTATTAATTAACATAATCGTAGGATAATAGAAAAAGTAATTATAAACTATTTTCAGTATACAGGATAATAATTTAGAAATACATAATAGAGCACATATACCCAATTCTGAAAGTGAGCAATTATATAAAAAATCCACTTTATCACCTGTTTGGTTGAAATCATTAAAATCAAAAACTGGAATGGATGTTGTTAATTTTTGGCTGAAGGAAGCTGAAAAAAATCAACACAATTCGGTAAATTTCTAATTGAATTTTAGCAAATGAATTTATTACTACTCCTAATGATAATACTGTAAAATAATAATAATAATAAAAAGAATAATGAATTTACTAAAATGGAAAATTGTTATAAAAAATTAAGAGGAAGAAGAACAATTTCGATTGCAATTTGCAACTTTGATAATAGGGAAAATAGTAAAAAAAATTTAATAATATTGTATCTTAAAAATTAGGACAGTAGTACTAATATTAAAAATTGTAACTTGAAAGGAATTTCACCAATGGCTTGAATCGATCCGAGAAGCATTGGGTCCAAAAAAATATCCAATTTGGTTGGAAAGCATTCGTTCGCAAACATCTCACAGTAAAAAATTCCAAGAGTGGCTTCCAATTCCCATTCCAAACATAAATGACAACATTCCAAATTTTTACCAATCTATGAATTTTGATTCGAAAATTAATGACATGGAAGGGGAAGTATTTTCTGAATTTTCAAAATCACAATTCGACGATACATTTAAGGTATACTGACTGCGTAGTTAATTTCTAATTAAATTTTCATTCATAGAATATTATTTTCGTGTCAATGAAAAATTACTTTTAAGATATTAATATACAGATTGCAGAATATGGCGAACAGAGGGATAATTATCTGCCAATGAAGACAGGGAATGTCGACACTGCATCATTAACAAAATATACGCCATTCAATAATTCTGTGAATTCTTCTGAGGTATATCGACATTTTTTCCCCAAGTAAAATAGTCTAAAGAATGCGGACCTTTAGCTGACTCTTTATCTCCAGAAGATCCGCAAAATATCCAGTAGCTTAAAAGATTAATAAATTATAGAATAAAAGTTTTTTTGATCTTTTTGAACCACCAGACTCTTTGCAGACAAGAGTCCTCTGAAGGTTCGAGGAAAGTTTTTCAGCCCCATTCTGTGGACTTTTTTACTTAGGTTATTTTAAAACTTCTGAGATTTTTTCTAAAAAATATTCCTGATCGTAATAGTTAAGTACTTGTTTGATATTTTATTATTTACCTGGATTGTTTGTTTCAGATAGAGAAAAATTCATTAATTCCGACATTTATAATTATTCAAACGTCACCGGATGAAATTGCATCAAGTATTTCTGGATCACGAAGATTTAATCATCCAATTTTAGGTAAATGATTTTTGTTTTCATGAAGAAAATTGAAAATTTAAATTAACCTAGTATAAAAAAATTGCCATGGCAGAATTCTTCTTGTGGAACAATTTCGAATGCTAGACAATTATTAATATATTTTAATATATTCCACAAACAAATTCGTAACCCGAGTTACGAAGTTACTGAGT